TCTAATTTGAATTCGACGCCAGCGGGTGCTAAGAGTTTGCTAGAGACGTGTGTGCCTCGGTGTAATAACCTGTTTACGTTTAAACATGTTGATTTTATGGATATTATAAAATGCTTTATCTCACTTAAAAAGAAAAATACGTGTGATTTGTTTGGAATGTCTATTAAAATTACTAAAAGTATAATAACAGTTATCGCTCCATATCTTGCAGATATATTCAATAAGTGTATTGATCAAGGTGATTTTCCAGACCTTATGAAATATAGTAAAGTTATCCCTCTCTTCAAAAACGGCATAAGAGATGATCCCGGTAATTACAGACCTATATCAATATTACCGGTATTAAGTAAAATTTTATGGTATTATTCTCTGGGGATCAGCAGCCGATATTGAAACTATATTTATCTTGCAAAAAAGAGCTATAAGGGCTATTTATCAACTTAGTTCTAGAACATCTCTTAGAGAAAAATTTAAAGAAATCGGGATTTTGACTGTAGCTTCTCAATTCATTTATAATTGCATACTTTTTGTTCGAAGCAATATTCTTCTAAAACACAGTGTCATACATTCTTTTAATACAAGGAATGAAAATAAACTCAACCAAATCACAGGTTACAGAAGGTTCATAAATCATTTATGGGTCAAGGTATACATTTCTATAATAAGATTCCTATTGATATCCTTGATTTGCCTCCTCATAAATTTAAAATACACATTAAGAATTGTTTACTTAAGAAAGGATATTATACTGTCAATCAATATTTGAATGATAAAACGGCCTGGTTGTAATTTTACCTGTAGATAATTTTTCAAAAGTTATATTAAAACTAAGGCTCCCAGCCTTAGAAAGAGTTTTGAAGAGAACCTTGCACTTACTCCCTTTCATATACTTGTTCATTTTGTTTTGAAAATTGTTTCTTGCTATTTTGGGACTTATATTTGCACTTATTGTTAGTAAATTCGTTGATTGTCTATTGTTACATATTTGACATTATGTGATGGAAGTTGACCTCAACACATGTTTGCAAGTTTGATGTCAACTTTCAATTGGACGACACTGTATGAAATAAAACAGGGAGAAAAAAGCAGCCCTTGCTGAGTTTCTTGCCGGTTCTTCTCAGTACAAGGTCTCCCGCCGTAGATTTGCGAACCGATGGCGTAGCATTTCGACATTCACAAGTGCTTGTAACAGCCTAGACTGAATAAACGATATTGAATTTTTTTAAAAATAAATAAATATTTCCAAGACTCACTCCAATTAGCCTAGCCCCAAAGTAAGCACGTAAGGCTTGTGTTATGGGATACAAGAGTAATGGATAGAATACATATACTGTACATATGTAAGTATATTTAAATAGAAATACATATTAAAAACCCATGACTGGAGTACCAAGGCTTGTATTCATCACACAAACATCTGTCCCCACCGGGATTCGAACCCGGGACCTCTCGAGTCGGCGACACCATGAAACCCGGCGTACAAACCACTCGGCCACGGAGGTCGTCTTAGTTTGTGTCTGGATGGAAAGTCTCCCTTGTATCCTTGTAATGTAATCTACACTTAAATATCACCAAAATACATTTTTTTCTTCTTTTGTTACAGATGATGATGTGTGCGGTCTGCTGTGATTTGATGTTAAATGATAATAAATCTAATGACATAATAAAAACTAGTTTGCTTTTAATTTTGCCAAAGTATGTCCGCTATGGCTGTTTATGATTATAAGCTTTAAAAAGGATCTTTTTAATCCTACTAATGTTATAAATGTGAGAGTTTCTATGTTTGTAACATAATCACGCAAAAACTACAGAACGGATTTAGATGAAATTTGGTACGCATATAGTTTGTGACCTGGAATAGGAATAGTATGAGACATAGGATACTTTTAATACCGGAAAAAGGTGTGGTTCCTGAAGGATTCTACAAAAATTTAATTTAACAAGGCCGATTTCGTCGATTTTCAAGTCTATTAACTTAAGGAATGAGATTTTTGATACAAACTTTCATCCCCTATTTTCAACCCTTCGGGGGGTGAATTTTGAAAAATCCTTTCTTAGTGCCCTTCTATAAATGTGTATAATACGAGCATTTGTACATTAGTCATGGATGTTTATATAGGTATATTTCTAGATAAAACATACTTATCCGTTATTTTTTTATTTTGACAATGGAAAATCCATTTACGGACCATACCGCGCGCTGGCTAGGCGCGCGACTTGTGTGAGACTCCAAGACTCGGAACAGCGCCGGTCCAACCCACTAAAACCACCGGTACCCTCCCTACCCTACGCCCTTATGGGAACGTCTCAGGATCGACGCACCTCTGTGTGCACCACTTCACTGGAACGCCCCCGAACTGGCCCGGGCCAACGAGTGGACCGGGCGACACGCCTCTGGGGGATTGCGCTAGGGTACTAGGTAATCCCGAGACGGGGTGACCTATGTCGAATGGCACCTAGGGCACGTGGCGGCCAAGCCGCGCCCAAACCACTTCAGGTGGGACAGACAGGATGGTGAGACGGGTGGACAGGCTAAGACCGGCAGTCATGGCTGCCTCATTCTGCGTCATCACCGATTCGCCGAAGGAGGCGGCAGTCTTCCAGGCTCGCTCGCTACCAAGCATGGCTCTAACCGTGCTTGGCAACGAGAGGTCGCCGTTTTCGCTCGATTAGCGTGTGCTTTATATTTTATTAGCGGCCCGCCCTCGCTTCACTTCGGTGTAGAGCTGAAGTGTAGACTACAGTTTTTGTTCTCAGGCTTGTATTATACACAATGACATTTATCTATGATTCTTCTTATACCTGCATGCAAAGTCTCAGCCCGATCGGTTTAAAATTGACAAAGTTTCATACAAACTTTCATTCCCTATTTTATCCCCTTGGGGATAGAATTGATCAAAATCCTTTCTTAGCGGATGCCTACGTCATAACATCTACCTGCATGCCAAATTTCAGCCTGATCCGTCCAGTGGTTTGGACTGTGCGTTGATAGATCACTATGTCAGACAGTCACCTTTGAGTTTTATATAATACTAGCTGTCCCAGCGAACTTCGTACCGCCATAAAAAAAATAGGGGTTGGTGGAAGAAGGGTGAAAACTTAGGGTTGTATGTATTTTTGAATGATGTATCATAAAAAAAATAAAAAAAACTAAAATTGAAAAATAAAATTTGGGGTGGATTACCCTTAACATTTAGGGGGATGTTGTCCGATTCTCAGACCAACCCAACATGCACACAAAATTTCATGAGAATCGGGAAAGCCGTTTCGGAGGAGTTTAGCCACAAACACCGCGACACGAGAATTTTATATATTAGATATAGATTTTTATATTATCGTCCAGAGGCCAGCGGCTGGGTTGGCGAGTGCCTCGCCCCATCGACGCAGAACCTCCCTCTGCGCCTCGGTGCGGATCCGTTCCTTATCCGTTACCCTAGCATCACATATCACAAGCCTTACAGTGCTTACTTTCAGGTAATTGGTATGAGTGTGGGAAATGTTTATTTATACTAGAAATATAAATTAACATCCATGGCTTAGGTACTAATTCTCAAAGATATATTATCATACAAAAAATTACCCTACCGGGAGTGGAACCCCCGATTGGCTATAAACTAAAGAATTCATAGAAACCATATGAAACGGAGAGCTAGTGGTTTGGGAAATGAAGGTTGTGATTTCGGACGCAACGGATTTATTTTACACACTTTTAAAGTAATTCACAAAATAATGTTAAAAGCAGATGACATGATGACAGATACAAAGAAAACGAGAACACAGTAACAATATTGATAGGAATAATCATTTATATGTCAATACTTTAAACAAAACTAATAAAACTAAATCTAACAAAAGGGTCGGCAACACCCTACAAAAAATGATTGCACGATCTTTCATTTGATATGAGTTAACATAGATAAATGATTGGTCTCGCTTCACTCGACGAAGCGAGACCAATCATTCATCTATGTGAGTTAAATGTTAAAAAACTTTAATGACAAAGCTATAGAAGACTCGTTCCTATCATCGTAAGAGGTTATTTAATTTGCACGACTAATGTCAAGGACTATCATAAAGATTATAAAGAATCTGCGTGTCGTGACGTCACGCTAGAAAAGCCCCGAGCACGTCACGAAGTTGCCGGTAACATCGAAGAAAAAAAATATAATTGCTGCAATTATTGAAATTTTTTTCTATTCATTGAAATGAACAGAAGATATATCACGTCATCTTAAATGATAACTAGTCACTAAATTCAATTTCTAATTGAAACCACATTTAATCCCTAAGGATTAAAAAACTATTTTCATTTTTTCAAATAGACGTAATAAAAACTACTTCAGCTTTGTAAATTGTTTCATTCTCTCTGCTATTATTTTCTTATCTCTTGAATAAAGCTATCTGAATGATATTATGCTGACCTCTGGCATTTAACATTAACGATATGCAAATCTCAAAATACTTATATTCAAAAGTTACGTTTACAATTTATACTATTTTTAATAACAAAAAGCCTGAAGTTTTTACCATATGAAAAAAAAAATACGGAAAGAATGTATAAATAATGCTTTTCAGTCGATATAATAATTTGATTCAGTTCTAGGTTATTAAAAATTTTAAGGAGAGGCCTCATCGTGGCTATTCTGTATTTATTCCTAATAATGTAACTATGTAAGAGCAGTCATTTTTCCTTTACAATTTTCGTAATTAGATCAGAAATTGATATCCAGATTTCCATTAAATCAGAGTTATTATATAAGTTAACTTTGATGACATGGTCCAACTTAAAATTTGAATCTTTATCGGTTTCCAATCCTTATTTACTGATTTTGACTATAAGAATATAGAACCCAAATTTCCAAGATAAGGTACTGAAAAACTACGTACTTACTCGTATTAAATTAACCAGCCAATTTCAAAACGTCATCGTTTATAAAAAAAACTTTATCGTAAACTCCGTCCAATATCTTTGTTTACACCTCAAATTACTCAGTACCAAAATGGCAGGCGACACGAAGAGTCGAGTGTGGTGTTACATTGTGTTATTAACATTAAGTTTTGAATTGGCCAATGCTCAAAATAGTTTCACAGTTCCGGATGTGACAATAGAAATTTTACAGCCTAAAGGTTTTAGAGTGTCTATACCAGGTGAGTTATGTTTAAATTTTAGTTCATTCATTTCACTGCATAAAACTTTTGGTCGACACACGAGTTATCTAACATCAAAGAATAATAAATAATATTAAAGACAAAAGAAATGGTATAGATGCCCTGAATCATACAGGAGCGACTTCTCAGTCATTAAATTGATATGTTGTAGATGATACGAGATATATAAGTATAAAAGAAATATTAAATTTTGTAAACAAAGCAATTCAATTATTAGGAAACAATAACAAGAATGGAACCACAAAAGAAATACCATAAGTTACGAAAAGTATGAAAAAGATAACAAAGCATAGTGTTATCTATAACACAAAGTTACGAAGTAAATTAAATTTGAACAGTTTGACTCATGTTTAAAGAATAATGACGGACCTTGTCATGAGATACAGACCTCGCGCGGTCATCGGCACGACGACTATACAATCAACAGTCGATTCTCGTCTGTGTTATAATATTCTAACGGTATTAGCCTTTCCATACAATCCTGTTAAGTATTTTTCATATATCAAGTGTATTTAAATCTGTCATCATTAAAACTTCCAGTGTCTTCATTATCAGCGATGAGAATGGTATTCCCCTAAGAATATTTCTGTCTTATCCTTAATAACCACCAACCAAAATATTATTTCAACATTATTTTACTTTTGCTTGTCGAGAAGCTCTCGTCATCAACTTCATTTATGACGAATAATCGGCCACAAACGAAGTTAATGTCTTGAGTTTTATTATATTTACTTAGAATTTTTCCTTAAGAATTTCCTGAAATACGGTTTCGCACAATTTAGTTAGTGTTTCTATGAGCAAAACTTGTTTTTTTAATATTCGTTCTTAGTTTGCTCGTCAATTATAACTTATCAATACACTAGCTGACTTTAAGAGTTGATGATGATAATTAAATTAGGATTATTGTTTTCATAAGTTGATCGATCTAAACTCATTTTTATCGTACAACGCCATCTAGTAACAGAACTCGAAATGGCGTGTAACGATGTTATATCTACAAATAATTGTTTAATTAAAAATAATTGATATAGTGACCAAAAATCAACGCTGCTGCGTAGGATCACTAAGCCGCTTTCTATAATGGAATGTAATTGGATTAATTCTACGTGGTATTCAATTGTTTTATGTACCATTTTATTATAAAACATTCTAAACGGGTTATAAAACGCATACTGCAATACTGCCAATACCTAACAAATTGTGATTACAGAAGTATTTATTTGAACGTTACAGATGCGTCTGGGATATCCCTGTTCGTATTCCAAGGCCATGTCAACCGCAAGATTGACCGGAACGCCGTAGGCAGCCTTAAAGGGGAGGTGCTCCGACCGACCAACGGCCGCTGGGTCTACGAGGACACCAACACCCAACTCCAAGTCGGTGACGTCATCAACTACTACGTCTTCGTCTCCAAGAACAGAATGGGCTACGTTAAGGACAACTTGAGTTACACCGTTACCAGTAAATTCATCACGCTACTATTGATTAAAATATTTATCGTGCTTAAGAGATTTTCACCTAGAAGATTTATTGCCGATTCATCAACATCTCGTTTATATCTACTCGCTAAGACATTAAAATCAGTCTGTTGGGCAATAAGGGGAATATGCCATGATTCACCTTGTGGGCCCAATATTCGTGGGTGCCATATGAACAGCCATTGTCAAAGTTATCTGTTCGAAAGCAGATCGAACGTGCTAGCCACTGCACTATAGCACTCGTCCAGAGAATTTAAGTAGATGGTCTTATCTAAGAGCTTAGAGAAAATCTCTAGAACTGAATGACTCCTACTAGTAAATCATTTTCAACCAACCAGATTAAGATGCTAGTGAGATGGGACACTAGCGTTTTTAGAGTGCCAGAATCCGCGTAACACGACGCTACGTAACACACTGCGTATGCCCGGGGTTCGGCAGCCGGCCAGAGGTAGTGTCGTGTCGTCACTCGTCTCGTCGACGTTGCGCGGACGCTGGCACGACGACGACGCTTAAAAGACGCTAGTGGGAGTTCTCTTTAGAAAAATGAAAACCTAAAAATTAAGTAAATAACTAGCAATGGTATGCGCTGAAAAGTAAAACTTCCCCAATACCGTAAAATCATTTGTGGCAAAAGCTGTTAAAATTCATAAAGGCTTTCTTTTCTTTTCTTTATACTTAGCTGAATTAGGACTTCATCTTTATGATAGATTTAAAAGCAATTCTTATTGAAGAAAATTAATAATAAACTTTTTTGTACCGCTTTTTTCAAGGTGTGGGACTCACTAATCATAGGAGTACTGCCTACTTTCAATGGTCTTCTGCACACATGTATCATGTACTGTATTGTAAAACAATCAAGACCGCGTTAGAAAATAACTCACTTAATGTTTAAATAGAAAGTGGGTTTGGCTGGAAACCAGTACTGCCTGAGATCTTCCATCTCAGAGCAGTTCATGCTGAGTCCATTTTCTGTACACACACTGTTATGCCTATTCGCTAATGTTATGTATACTGTGAAGAGCTATAATCTTCAATCTTTCTTTCTTTTTTACTTTGATGCGAATTTTAGTAATATTTATTTCTTTATTTTAGCGTTAGGTAATCGTAGTGGAGGTAGTACCACAGAGAAGCCGGTGAACTGCGCTCCCACGATAACGTCAGTACGAGGAGGCACCGCTTGCGCCGGCCAAGTCATATTCGAGGACGACTTCTCCGCCTTAAAGGACGCGTGGCAGATCGAACAATACTTACCAGTTTCATCGCATCCTGTAAGTTGTGCTGTCCTCTAGTAATTTCTGATCTGATCCTTGGTTCGATAATTGACTGGATTAATGTATAAATACAATAATTCTACATTCTCTTCTCGATTACCAATATGACCTTACTTTTAACTTTAAAATATTGTCGCTGGTTCGCTTTACATTCGTTGTTGGGATTTCGATATATTCAGCTTCAGCTGCGTAAGTGTCGCCGCACACGGGCCACCGACCACAACCACAAAACGCCGCCACCGGCATATTTCTTGTAGTTTTCATACATTTTATATGGACTCACCACACACGGTACGCCGGTGGCCGCCACACGCTACAAATCGTCGTTGCTCGCTTCTTGTGGCCCGCAGCGGCCACTTAATGCGCCGATACACGTCACTCGCGCGATTCCCCACCCCTCTCTCCCTTACCTTAGTCGGCCGCTGTCGCGCGCTTCAGCCACTTTAGTAGCCGCTTCTAGCTTCTCGTGGCGGCGTTCGTGGCTGTGGCGTGTGGCCCGTGTGCGGCGACACTAGGTCTTTATTTATTTATATTCTGTACACACAAACATAATATTCAAGAGCAACGTTATTAAAGATACATGTACAAGAGCACAACTTGTTTCGATCTGAAATTACTTCCAGTAGGCCCGTAGTAGGAAAGAATATGAGAAAAGACGGACAGCCTATACATCTATAGTATCCAAGCATGTTGTCTGGCTATTCCAATATTTTGGGTAACCAGTGGTTATATGTACTCTAAAACTTAATTATCTAAAGTAAAAAAATATGTTTGTTATTTACAGTACACACCAGACCAAGTTATTCAAAAATGGCTTGCTCCAACAGACTCGTAGCTTTTACTCGTAGAATTAGATTCAAGTCAGAGAAAAATTTATATTTTGGCAACCAGTACCCCAAGCAAGTACTATTATCGAATTCGAATAATTTGCAAACCAAAATTGTATGGAAACTTGAACAGCAGCGGCACAAAGTACGTAACGAGAACTAAAAATCAGTACACATTTGACAATGACATTTCGGACTCGCAAACGTTACGAATTCGATATTGGTTCGTGCTATTAGGTACATCAGTACCTAAGTCCCAGTCCCCTTGGTCTGGTGTGTACCAAGTTGTCAGAGGATCACCTCTGACAACTATTCACTCATCACTAATTTGTGATCAAAAGCCATATAGGTAATTGAGAAAATCTTCGCTGAGCTGTCTTTAAAGGAATCTAATTCAGTTTAAAGAATAAGATTTGGTTAATATGGATCGAATGAAATAGGGAAAATCTTTTTTTTGCAGGAGTATCCCTTTGTGTCGTACCAAAGGTTACTGACTGACCCCGTCGTGTCGGTGTCCAACGGCTACCTGCGCATCACACCCAAGATCCAGCAGCAGATGCCAGGCTTCAATAATGAATCTATCTACCTCGGAAACTTAGACTTGTTCAGTGGGTGAGCCCTAAATCATAAAACCAAACAGAAACCCCCTTATTTATAAACGAAGAATAAGCTTGGATTGGTTACTCCATGTTTTATCTATCTTTATTAAATTACAAATGGAATATGAACGATATGATAACGATAACAGAATACGCGCTGTTACAGTGGGAAAATTCCCGTCCCATATAGCGCTGTTACGGTGGGAAAATTCCCGTCCCATTGTGACAGCATTAAGCTGATGCAGGGCAACATCCGCGTTAGAATAGTAGCACCAGTTTTCAAAGTGTCGTCTACTTTGGGGCCGGGTAGGGGCAAATGTTTGTATGACGTGAATGTATTTTATGTACACTTATTTTTTTTTATACTTTAGAATTAATGCTATATCCTGTTTAACACGTCGTCATATCGTTTTCGTCCATTGTTTGAAATGAAATAGAGATAAAATGAAGTCTAAACATAATTAGCTTTTAAAGAATATTGAAAGTATATTTTGAAACTGAGATTAAAACTGCAAAAAACAGCAGCTACAAAATTCTGTAGGTATTTGTAGCAGCACCACAGAGGTGTAAAAGTCCCCGGCTCAATAGAATGACATCGGCAGTGTTTTTGAAGCCATGAGCTCTTTTTATTGTATTTGAGACCTTTGGTGCTAATGGATCTCATTACTGTAAAGTTCAAAACCGAAATATAATTTGACGACCTCTGTGGTTCGAGTCCCAGTGGGGGCAAATTTTAGAATGACGAATACGAGCATTTGTACCTTAGTCATGGATGTTTATATATCATCATCATCATCATCATCATGTCAGCCGTATGACGCCCACTGCTGAGCATAGGCCTCCCCCAAGGATCTCCACACCGATCGGTCCTGCGCCACTCGCATCCATCGGCTTCCCGCGACCTTCACAAGATCGTCGGTCCACCTTGTGGGGGGCCTTTTTTTTTTTTTTTTTTTTTTTTTTTTGTTGACGGTGGAAAATGCATTTACGCACCATACCGCGCGCTTGCCAGGCGCGCGACGTGTGTGGGACTCCCCGGCGTGGAACAACGCCGGTCCTACCCACTAAAAACCACCGGTACCCTCCTCGGCCCTTATGAGGGCGCTCTGGGATCGGTGCACCTACGTGCGCCACTACACCAGAGCGTCCTAGGGCTGGCCCGGCCCAACGAGTGGACCGGGCGACGCGCCTATGGGGGGATTACTCTAGGGTACTAGGTAATCCCCAGACGGGGTGGCCTATGCCGAATGGCACCAAGGACGCGCGGCTGGCATGCCGCGCCCAGTCCACCTTAGGGCCGACGAAGACCGGCGGTCAAAGCCGCCTGTCTTCTTCGACCCACCCGTCTACGCCGGAGGGGACCTTGTGGGGGGCCTACCCACAGAGCGTCGTCCGGTGCGTGGTCGCCATTCTAGAACCTTTCCGCCCCAACGGCCATCGGTTCTTCTTGCTACGTGTCCCGCCCACTGCCACTTCAGCAGAGCCATCGTTTGAGCGATATCGGTAATTTTGGTTCTCCTACGGATTTCCTCATTTCTGATTCTATCGCGTAGGGAAACACCAAGCATCGCTCTCTCCATTGCTCGCTGCGTGACCTTGAGCCTTCTTATGAGACCCGCATTAAAGGACCACGTCTCGCTTCCGTAGGTCATCACTGGCAACACACACTGGTCAAAGACTTTTGTCTTGAGACACTGAGGTAATTTGGACGCGAATATTTTTCGTAGCTTCCCGAACGCTGCCCATCCGAGCTGGATACGACGAGAGATCTCTTTCTCAAAGTTGGACCTACCTAACTGGACTGTCTGTCCTAGGTAGACGTAACAGTCGACAACTTCGAGTGTAGTGTTCCCAATTTTGACTGGAGCGGGTACTACATGGGCATTCGACATAATTTTCGTCTTCTCCATGTTCATCTTAAGACCCACTTTTTGGGAAGCACTACTAAGATCTTCGAGCATCGTGTTAAGATCTTCCAAGGTCTCAGCCATAAGAACTACATCATCGGCGAAACGAAGGTGCGAAAGGTACTCGCCATTGATGTTAATGCCTCGTCCTTTCCAATCCAGAAGCTTAAAAATATCCTCCAATGCAGCTGTGAACAGTTTCGGAGATATCACATCTCCCTGTCTCACGCCTCGCTTCAATTGGATAGGATTGGAGCTCTGGTTCTGTAATCGGACTGACATAGTGGCGTTTTCGTAGAGGTACCTTAATACCTCGACATACCTGTAGTCTACTTGGCACCTTTGGAGAGACTGTAACACCGCCCAGGTCTCAATCGAATCGAAAGCTTTCTCATAGTCCACGAACGCCAAACAAAATGGCAGATTATACTCTTCGGTCTTCTGTATAACCTGCCGTAGCGTATGAATGTGGTCTATGGTACTGAAGCCTTTGCGGAAACCAGCTTGTTTGGGAGGTTGGAAGTCGTCAAACCTGCGTGCGAGACGATTCGTAATGACTCTCGAAAACAACTTATAAACATGGCTAAGAAGCGAGATTGGTCGATAGTTTTTCAAGAGTGTTTTGTCACCTTTCTTGAAGAACAGGACAACCCCACTTCTGGCCCATGCTTTTGGCGTTCTGCCTTCAAGGATGATGGAGTTGAAAAGCCTCTGGAGGACTTAAAGTATCGGCTTACCGCCCGCTCTCAGAAGTTCTGCTGTGATTCCATCATCGCCCGCCGCCTTGTTGTTTTTAAGTTGTTTGAGAGCCATACTAATCTCATATAGGCTGACGTCCGGGATATCTTCAGTGTAGTGTCGAGTAAGCTTGGCTTTGGGGTCTCTAGCCTTGCTTTCAACAGGTGCTTGCGTGGAATATAGCTGTCCATAGAAACTCTCAATCTCCCTCAGGATTTCAGCCTTAGACGAAATGATGCTACCGCTGTCAGTCTTCAGCTTTGTCAATTGGCTTTGCCCAATAGACAGATCTCTCGCGAACACTTTGGAGCCTTTGTTGCGCTCGATAGCCTCTTTGATACAATGTGTATTAAATCGGCGAAGATCGCTCGTCAAGGACTGTGATATCTGTCTATTTAGCTGCCGGTACTGACTTGCATCTCCTGAATTCTGTAGTCTCATTTCGTTCCGCTGTTCCATGAGTAGGAGAGTTTTGTCAGAGAGTTTCTTAATTTTGGTACGGTGGGCTTTAAAATACTTGGACCCTACCGTACGGACAGTATCTACCACCGTGTTGTTTAGATCGTCCACATCTAGGCTGTTCTCAAGGGATTCGAAGCGGTTTTGAAGCTCGAGGTGAAAGCTCTCGGGGTTCTGTAGTTGTGCAGGTATTGGTCGGAGCGTCGACTTCATCATTCGAGATCTTTCGAGCTTTATGTTGATATTCAATGTGCCTCGTGCCAAGCACATACGACGCGACCTCCGGTGCTCCAATACTCTCTCGATCGAGAGAGCGATCGAGCAGAATCGAGGGTCCAAAGTGTTCGTACAATCTCTTGGAAGAAGCCATTTGACGAAGTTGACCACAGCAAGTGGGGAAGTTGTTGCTTCAAAGCCGGCAGTCCTTTCGGAAGTGGAAGACTTCTACAGCCAATTGTACGCATCACATGCATCTCGACCCGATCCCGGAAATGAGGATTCTAGAGCCACATTAACACGCCACTTCACCGAAGACCTGCCAGAAGTCAGTATTGGCGAAATCGAAATTGCTCTTGGACAGCTTAAAAATGGAAAAGCCCCTGGAGAGGATGGTGTTTCAACAGAACTCTTAAAGGCTGGAGGTAAACCCGTACTGAGGGAGCTCCAAAAGCTTTTCAACACTGTCCTGTTCGAAGGGAGAACTCCGGAGGCGTGGAGTAGGAGTGTGGTTGTCTTGTTCTTTAAAAAGGGGGACAAGACCCAACTTAAGAACTATCGACCCATATCCCTTCTAAGCCACGTCTATAAGCTGTTCTCAAGAGTGATCGCGAACCGTCTTGCGCGAAGACTTGATGACTTCCAACCACCGGAACAGGCTGGGTTTCGGAGCGGATACGGCACCATAGACCACATTCACACAGTGCGGCAGATTATACAGAAGACTGAAGAGTACAATCAGCCCCTGTGCCTAGCATTTGTGGACTATGAGAAGGCCTTTGACTCGATTGAAATCTGGTCTGTTCTGGAGTCCCTGCAGCGTTGCCAAGTCGACTGGCGATACATCCAAGTGATTAGATGTCTGTACGAAGCCGCCACCATGTCTGTCCAAGTACAGAATCAGCAAACAAGTCCCATACCATTGCATCGTGGAGTGAGACAAGGGGACGTTATTTCGCCGAAATTGTTCACTAATGCAATGGAGGATATGTTCAAGACGCTGAACTGGAAAGGACGTGGCATCAACATAAATGGCGAACGCATCTCTCACTTGCGATTTGCAGACGACATCGTCATCATGGCAGAAACCCTGCAGGACCTACAACAGATGCTGAATGACCTGGCTGACTCTTCTATACGCATCGGCCTACGGATGAACTTGGATAAAACCAAGGTCATGTTCAATGAACATGTTCTACCGGAACCGATTGCAATACACGGTGCCGTTCTCGAAGTTGTTCAAAAATATGTGTACCTCGGGCAGACATTGCAGTTAGGTAGAAACAACTTTGAGGACGAGGTGAATAGAAGAATTCAGCTAGGTTGGGCAGCGTTTGGGAAGTTACGTCAAGTCCTGACATCGTCGATCCCACAGTGTCTGAAGACGAAAGTCTTCAATCAGTGCGTCCTACCTGTGATGACATACGGAGCCGAGACGTGGACACTGACGGTACGGCTGGTCCACAGGTTCAAAGTCGCTCAACGCGCTATGGAAAGGGCTATGCTCGGCGTTTCTCTGAAGGATCGCATCAGAAATGAGGTAATCCGGCAGAGAACCAGAGTTATCGACATAGCCCACCGGATTAGCAAGTTGAAGTGGCAGTGGGCTGGCCATATTTGTCGAAGAACCGATAACCGTTGGGGTAGACGAGTTCTGGAGTGGAGACCGCGTCTAGGCAAACGTAGTGTAGGACGTCCTCAGGCGCGATGGAGTGACGATTTGCGCAAGGTGGCTGGCAGGAGCTGGATGCGAGTAGCCCAAGATCGATCTAAGTGGCGTGCATTTGGAGAGGCCTATGTCCAGCAGTGGACTAAGATAGGCTGTTGATGTGCCTCGTACTAACCGGTGATCACTTCCCGTTTTAACGGCGTTAATCACAGAGACATCATTGAATATTAGCTTTTTCGTCGACATGATAAAATCGATCTCGTTTCGGACTTTACCGTTCGGACTCATCCAGGTCCATTTTCGATTTTGGGGTTTCCTGAAGAAGGAGTTCATCATATAGAGGTTCTCCTTCTCCATAAAATCTGTCCTCTGGCGTTCCGTTGTCCAACTCCAAATTGCCCCACTCTCAACTCATGACCGCAATGCTTCCCCAACCTTGCGTTAAAGTCCCCCATCACAACCGTGTAGTGTGTTTTGTAGCTATGCATGGCTTTAGTGATCTCCTCATACATAACTTCCACTTCGTCATCTGGGTGCGTCGAGGTCGGCGCATAAACCTGTATGACATTCAACGAATATCGTTTTGATATTCTGAGTATCAGGTATGCTACCCTGGTCGACACACTTCCGATGGTGATGACGTTGTGGACAAGGGACTTGTGGACGATAAACCCGACACCGCCTAGGGACTATTGATCGCCCTCCCGGTAGTATAGCAAGTTACCGGAATTGAGGATTATCGAGTCCTCTCCCTCTCTTCGGAGTTTAGATAATCCAATAATATCCCAACGTAACTTACTAATAGCTTCTTCCAACTCTATTAGCTTAGCATCGGTCCTCAGTGTGCGCGTGTTGTAGGTTGCCAGGTCGAGTCGTCGTAGGTGGTAGCCGGATCTTACCCGGGGATTCTTAGCACTCCTTGCCCCGCCGTTACCATAGCTGCTACCGTGGCTAGGAATAGCAGGGCTGCCGGGGACTGGGGGCCAATCTTTAATTGTGCTACTCATTTCTTGGGGGGGTTTTGCCATAATCGCCACGCTTGGCAGGCGGGTTGGCGATCGCAGTACAGCCAAGATATTGTAACAAGACGCTGCTGCCCGTCTTCTGCTGGCTGTGTTCCCTTAGTCGCCTTTTACGACACCCACGGGACGAGAGGGGTGGTGCTATTCTAGGCCGGCACACACACGGCAAGTTTATATATATTTGTAGATAAAATATACTCATATATGTATCAGTATATTTTATGTATTCTATTCGTAACCCTAGCATCCCATACAGCGCTTACGGTGGGGCTCGGCTAATTGGTATGAGTATTGGAAATATTTAATTTTATTTATCATAATACGGCAAAATCTACAATACCCTTTCGATAGTTACATAAGTACTTTGTTCGGTTGACAGATGTACGTCTCGCGCGGAGGAGTGTTACCGCCAGGCGTCAGGACCGGACATCCTACCGCCTGTGGTCAGCGGTCGAGTCACCACTACAGGATTCGCCTTCAAGTACGGAACTGTCCATATCAAGGCCAAACTGCCTCTGGGAGACTGGCTGTATCCAGGTAAAATCGTTAGCTTCAAATTTAATTCAAAGTGAATATAAACCAAAATCAAAAAAACATTTATTCGGAACAGTCATGGACTTAGACAAATGATTAAACTTTTACACACATAATATATTGATGGACAATAAATAACGGACAACATAAACATTCATTACATAACATGTATCCACAGCTGGACCGAAAAGGACCTAGTTCAGCATTTCAGATGATGAAGTGCAGACGTGCAGATAGCTGGCAGTTCTACCTGCCACACCAGCCATCTCACCTTGCCGGCCTGCATGTTGCTTCTTCACGCCTCTTTTAAAGGATCCCAGGTTGTAACAAGGAGGGAACACGTGAGCAGGCAGAGCATTCCATTTACGGAAAGTGCGACAAAGATATCAGTCACCAAATTTCTTTGTACGCGTTGGAATTGTGGCTACAATTAAACGGTGACACCGAAGGCCAGCGCGCGTGGTCCTCTGAAGGAAAGGGGAAGGTGGAATAAGAGAGAATAATTCTTCAATTCTTCAGAACACTCGCCGTGGTACAGACGATAGAATGCGCTTAGTGACGCCACGTCACGGCGTAATTGTAGAGGCTCGAGGTGTTTAGTCACCTATGATGCGGATCGCACGCCGCTGTAACCTATCCAAAGCATCGAGCAAGTACTTGGCGGAGCCATCCCAGAGGTGCGAGCAATATTCCACGCAAGACCTCACCTGCGTCTTTTACAACAAGCACAGTTGCTCGGGCGTGAAAAAGCGTCGCACCTTGTTCAGACTCCGAGTTTGCGTGAGGCCGTTTTTACCACGCTTTCGATGTAATTCTTTGGATTTAAGTCACAGCGAATTTCCATACCGAGCATGGTGATACTGCTCTCTAGCTCGACATGAAAGGAATGGCGATGTTGTTGCCGTGAAAGTGTAGACCTGGGTTTTCTTAGCATTGAACTCAACCAAGTTCGTAGTACCCCATTCAGAAATGTGGTCCAAAGCCTGATTGAGTTAAATGATAAGATTCTCCCGTTTTTCCTTGGTTACCGCCTGTCTAGCCGCTGCTTGTCCAAGATACCCCGCATGACTGTACTATCGTCTGCATAGCAATGAATGTTCCCAAGAGGAATTACGTCTTTGATATGCAGCAGAAAGAGAATGGGGGATAGGACGGAGCCCTGAGGAACGCCGGCATTCACTGACATGAACCGCGAACTACTACCGTCTACTAACACACATACTTTGTTAAGAGTATGAAAAAACAGTGAATTATTAATCTTGTTATGTAAGAAAGGACCCAAAAAGCAGTCAAAACTCCGAGCAAAAGTAGAAAGTATAAGCGCCTTTGTTTGTTTTAATTAAACACAACTCCCAGTGTGCTGATTTTTAGTGAAAAATCCAATATTATATTGTCCACAGAGATACTTCTGGAGCCGTTTTTGAAGAAATACGGTAGTTCTAATTACGCTTCAGGCGTCATAAAGATCGCTGCAGCACGCGGTAACAGGGATCTGCGAGTAGGGTCAGATGAATACGGTAATAAGGTAATTTATATAAGCTCACTTTAATTTAAACATTTTTATTCTAAAAAAACAAAATATAAAAAAACCTATTTTAACAAAAATAAAATAATCGACTTCAGAAAAACAAAACCACAAAAATAAGAAATAACACATTTTCTGTAGTCAAATAAATCTTTGGAGTCAATACCATTGTCTGATAGATCTGAGTTCCCATTTACAACTTGGGTTGGCATGATACTGACTCCAAATATGAATATGAATAAATAAGAATTATTATTCTTAATTATTAGAGGTTTTGTTTTTATGAAGACGATTTTTTTATATTTGTTGAAACAGGTTTCTATTTTTCACTTTTAACAAGCTAGAGTTCAAAGCAATCTTTCTTTCAAATTACGTAAATAACCAAATACGATATGTGTATTATAAATTGTATTGTTCATCTCCGAAAGATTTTATCAGATCTTCCTCAAATTGATATGGAACTATCTCACTAACAAAAACTCTTTAAACAAAAATCGGTCGACTTAACGCGGGATATGCGCGAACAACAATAAAAAGTATATATTGACGAATTCCTCCTTTTTAATGTCGGTTAAAAATTAAGACTACTATAATTTTTTAACATGTTTCTTTCCCATATTACCTACGTATCGTTCTGAATACGCAATGTGTATTAAATATGATTCTATTCTTTTTGTTTCAAATTAGCAAAACCACAAGGTTCCAACCTAGGTTCACTCTTGTTTCTAGTATTCATTAATGACCTCTTATCTTAAATATACCTTTGACACTATTAACGATGAATGTGTTACCACAGATTACTCTTATTTTAGAGAGAGCCGCTGGTTAGCATTAAAAAAAAGCAAAGATAAACAGATTTCGCATCAATTATCGAGTTAACCAACAAGCTTGAATTATTAAGGTTTTATGAGGAATTTTGTAATGATTTTTCTGTATTTTGTTTCTTTTGGAATGATGATAACCCAGCAAAGACGAAAACATTTCAGACCTTTTTCCTAAACTGTCCTAATAGCATTAATTCTCTGATATCCCTGCAGGTTCTGTATGGTGGACCAATTATGGATGTGCAATGTCGAATGCAGCTGCTATCCAGAAAACTTCGAGACAACGGTCTATGGGGAGATGAGTTCCACGAGTATTCACTTACATGGACTCCTCGTGAGTAGAAAAATCCTTTTTACGGCAAGCAGTAGTTTGAATATCTTATGCTACTAGTTCAGTGTTTTTGATACTAATTCTCGTTAAGATTTAAAGTTCAGATCTGATTTGAGTAACCTAAAATTGAGAGTTATTAGCGGGATTGTTACCATGTACCTTGTTTTTTATGAGTCTCCGATAGTTTGGCACTAATTACTCCATGATCATGGCGCTTGCAACAGTGCCGAAATATCGGAGACTCATAAAAAACAAGACATATGGAAACAATCATGTTAATTGCCATAATGTTAGAGACTGAAAGTTTTAAACAATAAATCTGAAAATTGATTCCTTAAAGAGATATTTTTCTTTTTATTTAGCAATAGTTTTGAGCAAGATGTTATGTTTTTCCTCTCTTTTGCTTCAATCCCAAGGAAATATATGCAAATGTATCATATACTAGCGGGTGCGCGACTTAGTCTGCATGGTTCGTGGTGGATGTTACAATCAGACGGACACAATGTCGCATTTTTAGGTATAGGTTTAATATGGATTAGCGTACGGCCGAATAGCCATTGCAGATTTTAAGAGTACTCGTGATTTTGTTCCATCAGAATATATGTCGTTGTCCGTGGATGGGGAGGAATGGGCGCGAGTGGACGCGACCGGTGGACTGGCGTCACGATTCCCACAGAATTGTGCGCATTTGCCACGAATGCTGCTCGAGAAGGGAACGAAGATCGCTCCTTTCGATGACTACGTAAGTAACTTACTCAGAACACAGAAAGCGGTTAGGTTACAGAAAAATTACCCTATCTTAGACGGGATCCGATGTCGCCGACTCACCCCCACTACACTTTCTACAGTGTATCCCTGTCATTCACTATACAGAATGAAAAGGACAGAATGATCTTTAATTTAGTTTTAAGTTTAGAGAATCCTGCCAGAATCGATACCACTAGCTAGCCAAGCGACACGACATCAAACAATCGAAACAATCAGCACTCACACCCGTGAGCAACGCCGTAAGCAGAACCAAGTTTTGATCAAGTTATGAGCATTGCTCAAACATAACCGTGGTGCGCCTGACCTCAGGGAAGTCAGCTCTACACTTTGAATTTTATTACTATCCAGGTTGTTCTAGATTATTCTATGTTTGTTCAACATTGCTCCAGAATTTTATTTGCAAAAACAAAATTCTGGAGCAATGTGTCTGGATCTGGATCTGGATCTGAATGGAAAATTTTAAGGTACTAGACAAAATTAAATAAAACACGTTTCAACGGGTAACATTATATTTGTTTATTGACGTTTCGCAGCCTTTTCAGGTCAGCGTCGTCTGAATAATGATTTTTATTTACTTTGTCGAGCTACCTACGAAAGACTTCTATCTCGCGTTCGGATATTTCATTAGAAGATTTTTAAATTTTTATTGTCTATGCATGAATTTATTTGCTAATTTAATTAGTAAAGTACTATATTTAAAATTCTTTTTTGTAATTTTGAATTTATTTATTTGATCCTAACTACCATAAACTACCACCGGTTCTAAAATTGGGAGACCTTTCTGAGAAGAACCGGCGAAACAAACTCAGAGAGGCTTTGTATCTCCTTCTTATGTGAAATCATGCAAACAAAAAGAATTAATAGTATCTGTCGGTCTTGCAGTGTGTGTTCGGGGTTGGGATTTTATCTGTTATATAATGGGTTCCCAAGCTGCTGGTATATTCCAACCATCTTTGCTATTGAAATTTGGATATTTTTTATTTTCAATAGCTTCACGTATCATTCTAGAAATGAATCGTCCGCAGTTGAAATTTCAACTGAACAATGATTCATTCCTAGAATAGAAAAAGAATTTTAAATAAAGTGATCATGGTGCTTGCAACAGTGCCGAAATATAAAAAACAAGGTATATGGTAACAATATCTTTAATACTATGGACACAACTAATAAAAATGGCATAAACCTGGTGTCAGTAAAGCTTCTGGATACGAAAAGGTTTAAAAGAATAAGAAGTCTTGGTCGGCCTATTCTTAGTTTCACAATAAACATAGACAAAAAGATTCTGATCTTTTTAAAATCATTGTTTCTTTTCAGTTCTACATAACATTGGGCGTGGCAGCGGGGGGAATAACGGAATTCCCTGACAACTCATTTTCAACAGGAGGAAGGCCGAAACCGTGGCGAAACTCTGGACGTAAGGCTATGCTCAGCTACTGGGAAGACTTGGCCGCCTGGCAATGGACATGGACAGAACCTGAACTACTGATAGACTATATTAAAGTCATCGCATTGTGATATCAAAAAAACTCTCAGTAATTTTATATTAAATAAGAACATGCCATAATATTAAAGTCATTCTTAGAACTGCATTAAGTGCCTACTCTTTGTCAGCAAAGATTAGACGTATACATGTTTGAAACATATAAATTGTTAGCTGAAAGTTAAATTTTGGCTTTCTAATAGTTTATTTTTGTTTAATCAAAACGAAAATAATTAACCGACGGAAAGAACTTCGTCTGTTTTTATTTATTGTTATAAGTCAGTGGACTAATTGTGAGTCGCCTACTTTGTTAAGGAAATGTATGAAATAAAAGACAACTTCACCTCAACTGAACTGGTTGTATTATTATTATAGTTCCTTTAGAATTTTCTTTAATTTATCCGAAAACATAATAATTATTATAACGCGTGTTTCGAAAGTGCGAGCACCTAAATATTAAACGTTTTGCATTTAATTTGTAACTACTGAAATGCCTATCTTGCTCCACTTTTTAAAAAATAGCATCCATTTTATCCGTAACAGGACGACCAGAGCAAGACGTGCATTTTTGACATCAAAATTTCAAATTTAAAACGCTTAAATCAAAAATGTGCTACTCTCGCAGACATTTCACTGGGTCCGTAAACATCACAATTTTTTTTTGCGGTTTGCAATTCATTTTTACCTGTTTTGTAGAGACCAATGATTCATCTATGCTTTATTATAGTAAAATTTTAAAATGCATCGAATTTCTTCATTACATTCACTCAACTTGACAGAAAGAAAATCGAATGAAAATCAAACATTTCCCAAATTTGAATTCGGATTATCTTCTTTAAAAATAATGATGCCAAAACCAGCCAGATCCATATGTTATAGCCAAAGAGATTTTATTACAAGTTCATACATACTATAATGCGAAAAGATTTTTTCTCCAACCTATTTGAAATTGTCGCGTTCGACGCTCGTGACGCTCGTAGCGTTTCAGCCTTCGCCGAGTTACCCCCCAACTTTCATGCTTGTCGGGAAGAGCTGCACACGCATCCCACAAACATATTTATCCTTTTTTGCATCATTTTTTTCCTCCTCCCTCATTGGTCGTATCCTTATGTTATATAGCTTATAAAATTTCTCGTACTATTCAACACAAAAATATATTTTCAAATCGGACCAGTAGATCCTGAGATTAGCACGTTCAAACCAACAAATAAACAAACTCCTCAGCTGTATATTAATCTATAGATGTCTTTAGTCTTACAATGGCAGTCGACAGTGCTAGACGTGTAACGGGTTACACCGTACTAATATTATTAGTTATATTCGCATCAGTAAGTGCGCAGAGTGAATACAACCTTCCTGCCTTGAAAATAGAGGTGTTTAAACCAAAAGGATACAAACTGTCTTTACCTTGTAAGTCAAGTTTATCTTTTAAGATCAGAGTTGATGGAACGGGTTTAATCGGTTTTAAAAACGATGAGGTTCATGTAACATCTAGCAGTTAAATGTTTTTAAAAGAAAAATATAAGACGGAGGTTGTCAATCTTGGTCAATCTTTTCAATCGTGGAGGTTGTCTGTATGTAATCGTGTATGTTTTTTTTAACAGTTTGTATTTAGAATGAAAATTATCGAGCACTCATCTGTCATTAATTAATAATGACCTGTGTCATTAAAGAACAGCAAAACCCGTTTTTATATCGGTGTAGGTAACGCTGCAGATATGATTTTATTTATTTGGCCACAAAATCGACAGATATGGATTTGCATACAACTTTTGTCGGTCACTGCTCCCATTGCTTCTTGCGACGTTACACCTATTATACAGATACCTAAAGCTACCTAAATAAAACATAAAAACATTATTTAAGTCTTATGCAATAGAAGGTCATTAGTTTTATGTAAGTAATAATAATAATACAAGAAAAGAGGAATTTTAATTAGTCTTTCATTCGTTCATAGTGGACATTGTAAAATAAAATTGGTGTGATTTTGTGTAACAATCTGCTGTCTTCACAACTGAAGAATTAGTGGAATCTTTAGAATATACGCTATTACGGTCAAGTAGACGTGAGAAATTTAATGTAGTGTTCACTGCCACACAGAAGCTTATCGAAAAAGCAGACTCGATATATTTCGTGTCAAACACACCAAGAAACATTAGCGTCATACCCACATTCTAATGTACTCGTAGGTAAAGAAAAAAAGATTAATACAAAAATGAGACGATGGCTGCATGACTTTGCCTTTGCCTTGTCATAGGGAAGAATAGAACATAATAAAAATAAGAAATGAATACCAGGACCTGCAATGCGATTAAAAATTAGAACATGAATTTCAATTAACACCGGTGAATTACTCGGTGAAAAGTGAGTTTATTCTTACAGAATAGCACTGCTTTTGTATAATGGAAGATGCTCCCGAATGCAAACACAGTAGGTTAAATGGAGGTTATTACTTTCTCTATAACATATAGCTAGAAGAACCCATAGATTTGAATCGTAAGATATGCTCTGTCACTGAAAAACTGTATTTGCTATAGCAAATATATTTTGCAATGACGTTATGATGATGGCCGTTTTGACACCGTACAATAGTAACGAGAAAAGTAAAGGACAATGGGCAAAACACACCCAGTTCCGCCAACAATGTAATTAGTATGTATCGACAGATCTATGAAAATCTAGCCTTTTTTATTGTGACACCGAAAAAAATATCCTGGTAGTCAAAAGATATGGCATCGTATATAAATATCCTGGTAGTCGAAAGATATGCCACTAGCTAATTAAATTCATATTATATTACCTTCATCCTCCCTCACCCGACCATCCTGCGCTTGCAGTTAGGGAGATACCTCAAAACAGCGGACGTGGGTGCAGCGTCCATACATTTTTGCCCAAAGTCCTAAAATAAGCTAATGTAATTAAATGCGAGTCTCGTCTAGATAGTATATTTATTAGATTATTTGTGCATTTTGACCAATATTGTAAGCAATAGTTCGTTAAAAAATAAATGAAAATATAAATGTCTGCAGAAACTCAGTGATCTGCGGATTTGCGGAGATCGTATTGATTTGTTTACATTTCGCATTTCGAAACTACAAATGTATTTCGAATTTCGAAAACTACAATTGCCGAGGTACGTGGTTTATAAGAACACTACAATTATAATATGACTACTATATACTGAGTCGACCGGGCGAACTGAGAATCGTCTTTTAGATAAGTGTCAGTATCTTTAAATTTCTTTACAACTGAAATAAAAGAAATACAGAAAAAAGTTCAATAGTTTCCCTTGATCTTTCAGTACAATAATTCATCTTGGGAAATTAGGAATGGTTCCATGTTTTTGGAAACTAAAACCAAATGTAGTAGAATTTATGTCACATTGAAACCAAAACTATGATATTGTTACTTACAATATAGAAGTTGTACCCATCGTCTCCTTGCCACAACACCTTTCAATATTGCAAGACACGTTGCATGATCTGAGTATTTTCTTTCAATTACAATATCTCTCTAGATTTATTTACCAACATTTTTTGCTTTTGTTTTTTTTTCTTTAAATATCTATTGTAGTTACTGTTAGTACAATATAAATAAACTTTGCACATGCGAGACGTCCGCTGTCAATTAATAAATTGATATTAAGTGGAAGATGATAGAATGCTAAACCTAATTTATTTGAAAATTTCTGAATATTTTTTTGAAATTTTGAATAATTAGTTATACTTGTATTTAGTCTGGAGACGAATACAAAAAAAACGGACATGTGATGTTCCCATGCAATAGAAGTGACACCTACAAAAATGTGAACACGTTAAAGTCCTTCATGAGTAGGTACGTCTTAAAGAACAAATACCTGTGTTAAAAATCAACTCTCTAAATCAAAATTAAATATTTAATACTACTTTAATTGTTTCGAAAAAATAATAATAGCTTTATAAAAGAAAAAAAAACAATTAAAATCGATCGATTGGTTCTGATCCCAAGACCGTTACCGTGTGGCTATCCGTCTCTTATAGTAGATGACAAAATTACGGATACCTATCTTGTGGCAAATACTCTACTTCCGTTTCATCGAATCTCAAATCACTACGGTGCCAAAAGTTTTCACTTTAAAACAGAGCTCATTAAATTCTGAAATAATGCTGCATTATCAACAGATATACCAAACTTGCTGCTTTATATATTCCGGGGGAATATAAATAAACCAATAGACACCGACAGCACTGCATTCGGAACCATATCAGGGCAGCTCGCCCAAGTTCCCAACGGACGTTTCGAATACGAGGACCGTGAAACCCAGCTCAAGCTCGGTGACGTCATCAACTATTATTTAATGGTGTCAGTGGCAGGCTTCGATACTTTCGTGGAGAATAATTTGAGTTACACCGTCACTGGTAAATGGTTTTCATTTTTTTATGTTAAAATGGATCCAAACAGGCGTCTAGTCTGCCTCATGATAAACGGCCACCATAGCCTATAGACCCTGGGTTCCGAACCCGGGGGGTAATTACCCCATATAAATCAGCCATACTTCGGGGGTAACAAAGAACCTAATTATTTGGTCAAATCTAAATAATAAGAAAATACTATATAATAATACTACTAAATAGAGCATGCGCTCCTTCTTGCTAGCGAGCCCGCGGTTCGCGTAGTGTATATATTCTGTGCCCACGGGGTGCTGAGGGAAGCGGGCCGAGATTTTCTCCTGATGATGATATTATTAGAGACGAAGATGTAGCGGCCAAATTGGAATTTCTTGGACTGATGATAACGTTTTAAAGTCGGGGTAAAATCTGTTTTCCTAATAGGTTACCCCTGTAACCTAACCTTTCCAATACTACTACCCCTGTAGTAGTATTGGAAAGGTTAGGTTTTTTATTGGTTCCATATTATGTATTTGCATGCTATTTTTAAAATGGCAAAACACGTGCTCAAACCGTTATGTAATACCTATGTACCGTGTTTTTCGCAAATAAAGATTATGATTTATGATTTAGGAAACGCTGCTATAGACGCTTGCGATACCAAAAATATCACTCGCACCGTTGCCTACCCTGAGTCAGGGGAAGTCAGGGGCCCTGACACAATCCTCTACCCCGTGGAGCCCGTGAACCTTACTCGCCGATAGTAACACAACACAAAAAGATAGTGTTATTTTACTCTGGTCTTCTACAAAGTGAAGGTTACTTCCCCTGATGGACGCTGCAATTCGCGCGGAAAATCTTCTAATGTTGTACCTCTCTTAAGATTTTCTTGGGATATTCCAATTCCAAATAGTTACATTAATTTTCCAATTGAGAAGCATATTGAAAGCTTTTCAATTGGCAAAGAACAATGCCAAGTGTCCATAGTAACTTTGGCTTAATAGAAAATTTTCACGAACAGCAATGAAAATAGTTTTCAGAACAGTAAAAATTCTAAAGAACTTCTAATAAGAAAATACTTAGATAATACAAATATAGAATTTTAAGGTTATTTCAATTTCACGATCACCGTGATGGAGTGGCTTCCACACGAATTTTCATGGTGTCGCCATATCTGGGTTCCCAGGTTCGCTCCTCTGTCTCATTAATCCAGAAAAATAACCGTTTTACATTGTTTCGGGTATGCGTTTGAGGTATCTTGGTAGGTATCTTTGCTAGTTGGTAGACTAATGCTGGTATTTTATATGCGCATTGTGGTAGACCCAAAGTCGGGTCGTCTGGGTAGGTAATTACAATTAGTAATACATTTCGACGATTATTCTAATAATTTTACTGAATGCAAAAAATGACTGATTCTATTAGTGTCATTTACCGTTGCTGTATTCTTTTAAGTTATCACAAGGCCTATCAACGCCGGTGCGTCGCCTCGGAACTCTATGCCTCTCTCTTTTTATTGCAATAAATCAGAGATAACCAAATTCTATTGGGAAAGTTCTCGGAAAAATAATAATGTAATTTTAAACTTTCGAATTGTTTACGTTATCTGATGTATGTAAAAGACATGTGTCCGTGCCATTTTATAATTAAAAGTTTTGAAAGCCGGAATCTGGCATTGTTCTTTATGTAACTGAAATTTTACTTTAGAATTTTCCAATTTGTGTCATACTGGCATTTCACATGGAATAACCATACTTGCTTCTTGCAAAGGTGACAGGGGTGTCTCCTAAGCATAATAAAGGATAATTACTGTTGTATTATTATTACATTAAAGCAAAAATAATATACAAGACCACCTGTAAAAATTTATTAGTACTTGTTAGATCAGTAATTAGAATCCTGAGTTTCTATTCTAGCTGTCATCATCATCATTAGCCTATTAATGTCCCAATACGGGTGTACCGGCCTCCCTTATGGTTGGAATAGGGAGATTGGGCCATGATCCACCATACTGGCCTAGTGCGGATTGGTGAGTGGTAGCAACTGCAGATGCAGCCGGAACTTCTTAACATGTCTTCCAAGGCAGGAAGGAGCCATCCAATGACCGACCACTGCGAAAGTTGCCTAACTTCAACGATCGCAGCCGAACGCACTCACTACTTGCACCATCGAGCTCCTCTAAATCTCATGATTATAGCTGTGTCCATTATTATATCGTAGGGTTGGTTAACCCCGCCTGGCGGGTGCGCGACCATTCGGGGACGGGTTCCGCGACTACACCCGCCCTCTCGGCACGCACTAGGGGGACCGCGGTCCTCATAGTCCGTGTCGGGTGACGGTGCAAGAGTATTGTCTGGTTTTAGTGGCCCTATTCAGGGCGTAGGTAGGGCCCTGTTCACATCAGCGAGCACCAGGGCTGGCTGAAGAGGACAGGGAGGAGTCCCACATACCTTCTTCTGCAGTGGTTGCAGGATGCGTAAGGCATTTTCCAGACACAAAAAAAGGGTTGGTTAGCCCCCTACAAGGTGGACCGACAATCTAGCGGAGGTCGGGGGAAGCCGCTAGATGGGAGCAGCGCAGATGCGATCGATTTGAAATTCCTTGGTCGAATTTCGATGTCTGTCCAGCAGTGGGCGTCTCTTACCTAATATGATGATGAAGTTCAACACCAGACCAAGAATCTTTACTGTCGTGTTCTTCGCTTCAGAACTCAAGGATCGAAATGCTGGAAAACCAATGAAATGCCTTCCCACGATCACCAGGGTACGTGAAGGCAAGGCATGCGGCGGTCAGGTCATATTCGAGGACGACTTTTCCACCTTCAAGGAGGATATGTGGCAGATTGAGAATTATATACCGATTTCATCACATCCAGTTAGTCTTCTAGTGTTTCTTTTTATAAATTCTGCTTGCTTTGTCAAATATCTACTAGTATAATCGTTAAACAAATATCACGTAAAAATAAACAGAGAATATCCAAACATGGTCAAAAATATATCTCTATTTTGAGTTTTGATTTTATAAATATACCCAATATCGAAAATATACCATCGTACGATTATCGTATGATTAAGTAAAATTTTGAGAAAAATACATCACTTTCCGAATAATTTATATAAACTTCAAAATCTTCTCTGCTCATGTTTACGTTATATTTCCTTATGGATTAAACAGAAGATTTTTAAAGATTTTAGAAAAATCTATCTGGAGTTTTGTTTCTTATACGTCCAGCATCATCGCTATGATAACCCATAGCTAAAGAATTTAATGATAACATTTATCATAACCCATCGAAGTGCATTTTTTGCTATTTCATATTATACGTGGACGTGGAAGAAAGTTGGTGATACGAATTTTAATGACATTTGAAAAAAGCTTCTATGAGTCATGCTCTGCTCTGTAGTCACATTTCCTTTCAGGAACACCCATTTGTATCATATCAGGATCTGATATATCACCCAGTGGTTACGATATACAACGGCTCCCTGAAAATCACACCGATTCTTCAGGAGCGAATAAATAACTTTGACAATGACACTATCGCTCACGGGGAATTAGATTTCGACAGAGTGGGTAAGCGGTGGAATTACATACATTTATTATTAATATTATTCCTAAGATAAGTTGTTTTGAATATATTTTATTAATGCCACGTATTTTTATTCTATTAGACAAGTATGAAAGGGCAGTAAAAATTCAGTGAATTTAAACACAAATACAAAATTGTATTGAATTTCAAAGCTGCTTTTTAATGTAAACATGAAATTGTCAAATAAACGTTAATTTATCTTTTTGATAGCTGAAGACATTTAAGGCCGAAAAATGCGAATTTTTGCGATTTTTACATGCTATTATATTACTAGAAAAAACCCACGCGGACCAGGCAGCAGACGGAACAGTTACCTACAATGCGGAGAGATGGCGCTGCCTTGCAGTTTCAGAAAGGCTAAATAGAATTCGACACAGCCGTCAGGGCCGCGGTAACATAACTGAAAGAAGGGTACGGGTTCAAGTCCCGTCTGCTGCCTGGTCCGCGTGGAATTTTTTCTAGTAATATTTTCTTTAGATTTAAACATCGAGCAGTTACATGCTTAAAAACAAAAATTATAACTATTTTAGAGTTGTTTCGTTTGTTGGTCATCATTGTCATTATTATTTAAAAGAGAAGTCTTTAGTTCCTCTGAGTCAGTACATTATATTGTTCTTAAACTACAAAGAGCTTTTAAACTAGTCAAGTCATTTTTATCTTTAATATAATCTTATAAATGTGAAAATGTGTCTGTCTTGTTTTCATAGATTTCCACACATTACTGTTATCATCTAAACAGGTGTACATCGCGTGGTGAGGAATGCTACAGGAAGGCTTCTGGGGCAGACATCTTACCGCCCATAGTGTCGGGCCGTATCACAAGCTCGAAGTTTGCATTCACCTACGGAAAAGTCCACATTAGGGCGAAGCTGCCTCAAGGAGATTGGCTGTACCCAGGTCTTGCATAAACTCTAGAAATCTATTTAAGAAAAAAAACCATTTACTGCTACCGTTACATATATAAGAATATATATATATATGTTACAATGTTATCGCATTACTTTGTCGAGTTCTTCCTGATGTGGTCCTTTCCTTCCAGGTGGTCAAACTTTTTGGTGAAATCAGTTTGTGCTACAGGAAAAAAGTCCTTAGGGTTAAACTGGTACAAAGTGATCAATACTAAATTTATAATGTAAATTATGCAATAACCGTTTTAATATACATGGCGTCCCACGGCAACCTCACACGGAGGGAAAGTATATTAAGTATTGAAACTAGGATATTTTACTGAAAGAAGACATCATTTTATTTTCAATAATAACTAGAACAGCATTCACAGATTTTTCAAAAATCGCCTTCTACAACTGGGAATCAAACTCGTGAAATTTTGAAAAAAAAACATGTGCCATCAACGCAGGAGTTTACACGATTGCGCGTTTATACTATGACATTAGTGGCATGCCATGGGTTTTATCCAAAACTGGCGCGCGAACTGTTCAAAACTTGGCGATTACACGTGAAATCCCTGAAAATATTGAGACGAGAATTTCGTAATGTAAATTCAGCTTAAACTTATCTATAACAGTCATCCCTTTTTTTTATTTAGAATTACTCTTGGAACCTTTCCTGAAAAAGTATGGTAGCTTTGACTACGCTTCAGGAGTTTTGAAGATCGCATCAGCACTGGGCAATAAGGAGTTGAAGTCAGGATCCAATGTATACGGCAATGAGGTCAGTTTACCCCCCTTAGCCCCCTTTCCATTACGCACAGTATCATTCAGAAACATCAAATAATAATTATGTTTTCTTTTTCATTTTTTAATCATTTAACTGCTGCTGCTAGCATTTAAATGTTTAAATGTAAAGAAAAGTTTACTAGAAAAAAATCCACGCGGATCAGGCAGCAAACGGGACCGCGTGGATTTTTTTCTAGTATACTTTTCTTTGGGTTGACACATCTAGCAGTTAAATGCTTAAAAAAAAACATAACGATAATTGCTATTTCTTCTTTCAAATGTTTAATACTTGTAAAGGTTTCAATTTCATTTGATGAGCGAAGAGATGGCGCTGCCTTGCAGCCTAAGGCTAGAGAAAATTCAACATGGCCGTCAGGGCCGCGGTAGCATAATGGTCAGTGCATTCGCTCGGATAGCTAAGGGTGCGGGTTCATGTCCCGTCTGCTGCCTGTTCCGCGTAGATTTTTTTCTAAAAATCTTTTCTTTATATTTAATAATGCTGTTCTATTTTATTAATAATAATAATCATTTATTTGAAATCATATAAAAAGACTAGGTGTCCCAGTGAACTTCGTACCGCCATAAAAAAATAGGGGTTGGTGGTAGAAGGGTGAAAATTTAGGGCTGTATGTATTTTTTATGCCACATTATAAAAAAATAAATATTGTCCAAAAACAATTTTAGGGGTGTGTAACGTAGTGTTCTATCAATTTCCTGGGATAACATTCCTCCTAACCCATATTAGAACACTACGTTACAATACCCAATAGTTTGAATTTTGGCGCAAAGGAGCATTGTAGGTTTCCGAACACTGCGTTACAGGTGGACAACCATTATCACTTAAGGATATGAAAAATTGATAGTAGCCGATTCTCAGACCCACGGAATATGCATATAAAATTTCATAAAAATCTACAGTCTGTCAATAAAGTCATGAAAAAAATGTTTGAGAAACTGATGGTGTTATTATGTTCTTTGTGATTTTGTTTTTGAAAGTTTAACACTTTCAAAAACAAAATCACAAGTTCGAGTTTTTTTTTATTAAACCGCTTAAGAGATATAAAATTAATCGGCCTGTTGATACAAATGGTGCGAAGCAGGTCATATTTCAAGTTCTTCAGAATTTAAAGATCATATTTCAAGTGGTAAGATTGTTTTATGAATTTGACTACGTTTACAGTCAAACAGCAAAGCTAGCCGGTGAGTAAACTTTGAGAAATAAATGAATTCTACTCCCGTGACCATCATTTCTGTTTTCATCCGGAATGACATCTGATTTGATGCATTGTTTGCTTTATGTTTAGCTTATAAAATTCACTAACAACTTAAACTACGCCCTATAGATTTGATACTTTTGTATTTTTTTTTAAGTGTGTACTTGGCTTTATTTATCTAACTTGTCTTTGTTTCAGATGTTTCCAATTGTACGATTCGACGCATAGTGGACGAAATATTAATAATGGAGATAGAAAACAAAGAAGTGGGTATATATTATGCGCCATTGGTTCGTGAAACAGTTAATTTTTATACGAGAAAACTAAGAAAACTACTAGGAGTGGTGAGAGAAAACATAAATTTTAATGGTGGCCATGAACGTCGGATTATCAACCATTGCTGCAAAAGACGAATATTACTTGGCTGAAGAAGCTTTTCAGGCAATAATTCCACAAGAATGAAAAATCTGTGGAAATTTCAAAAGGAAAATTTTGTCTGTGGTGGAACTGTACAGATGACGATTATTCCAGTTCCAGGTAATCCTATGAGGCAGGCAGCAACCAGCAACTTGATGACGCAGGAATATTAATTTTAATTAGATTTTTTGGGCTCTTAATGACCATAATAATATAATAACTATCTTTCTTCTTATTTCCCAACCTTTAGTAAGTGTCTGAAAAAGGCCGGTCATAAGTGGTTTCAGTGTCTAATAGCCTAGTGCTCGAAAGTCAAGTATGACAAATTTTGATAATTTTATTAATCTGCTCGATTCATAAATTTAAATAAATTTTTAACTATAAAAAATGAATATTTTTTTTAAGTCCAGCAAAGTATTAGGCAGGTCCAGAAAAATATATTAGATGATGATAAAATAGAAACTCGGATAATAATGAAATGCATAGATAATTATAGAATAGTACTTTTTAACAAATATCAAAGCGTTTTTGTCGGTGCATAGCGGGGATACCATGTAAGCGAGGGCAGAGACCTCATTTTTTTCATGGTTTTATTGACAGATTCGTGTACAGAAAACGCTCATTGCGAACAATTTTTAAAAGCAAAATAAAAACTATATTTAGAAGCTTTGAAACTTGTAATTCTCAGGTTCTGTATGGTGGACCGATCATGGATGCACAGTGTCGCCAGCAACTGCTGGGCAAACGAGTGTTGGAATATGGTCAATGGAGTGATGACTTTCTGGATTACTCCCTTACCTGGACTCCTCGTGAGTAGATCTATTCAAAAATATCCTTTTATTCATCAAGGAGTTTGTTCATACCAAAGAATTCTTACTAAAGAATTCACGTGAAATCTCTGTATGCTGTTATTTAATTTAAATATAAAGGAGATTGTTCAAATTGGCCTAAATGCACAAAAAATATTGACATACACGGTAATTCTTGGCGTAATTTATAATTTAATTTACAGTCATTAGATTTCAACGGACACCTTTGTATAATATATTTACTTTAAAAAGGACTTATAATTTTACAGGTTTGGAAAACATACGAATCATTTTTAATGGCTATGGGTGTAGTAACATTCAGCCAAAGACTGATCAAAGTTGTTTATATAACATAAAAACAAATCTATTTTGTAAAGATCGATAAAATAAATCTCTTTTTTTTTATTACACTGTGGTATTAATATCCACAACTATATTGTCATTTTCACTAGATATAAATGTGCTCAGACAATTATTATAGATGGTAGGCGACATCATAAAGTCTATTGCCATGCATTTTTCGCCAAACACCTTCATAAACACATTATAATCTGTATATATGTTAGACTTTAAGGTATCTATCTATGGGCCTACTTTCCCTGACTATAAATTAATAAATAAATAAAATTATAAGGTGTAATACACTAAAAATCTAAAATATGGTTATCTTAAAAACATAACAAAAATAATGAAGCTACTGAATATATGGCTACAGAACCTAAATCTCTTAGCTTTCTTTGGTTAATCACACAGTTTCTGTCACAGAGTACCTTATTTTAACCGGAAATGACACCTGATTTTAAAAGTTACTCTTATGCATTTCTTTAAAAACAGGCAACTATCTGTTAATCTACGTGCTCTATATACCTGAATCTAATACATAATTTCGGTACTTGGCTTGATTTCCCTAGTTTACTATATAACTTATTTGTTTTTTATTATTTTAATATGTTCAGTGTATATGGTTTATAGAAGTTCTCAGGGGTGTGCGTCAATAATATTCGTTTCTACAGTAATTTATATATAATTTCGAATCTAAGAAACAAATTTTCATGATAATTGGTCTTTAGGTTAAACATGTATGGAAGCTGAGCAATCTCCTTTTCAGCCATACTCAGTATGAAAGTATAAATATCAAAAGATAATGTAAAATATATCTAAAATGGATTTTATTATATTCTATTTTTAGGCAATTTATAAATCTTAAGATGATTTTTGTGGAAGATATTCCAATCGGTCCACCACCTGCACTTTTATTGTCGAGTAATATTTTCATTACATTTTATTAAACGGATTTAGACGAACGAAACGCGCCGGTCCCCAAGGTAGTTCAATTGACGACATTTCGCTCAATACTGGTCGCCCAACACTGGTTAAAGGACAAAATCTTCTCCATCCCTTAACCAGTGTTGTCCCTTACCCTACCCGTCTCATGCCCCACGATTTGCTGAGCTCGTGCAATGACCAGTGACCAATCAGGACCCTTCAAAGATATCGATTTCTTTTGATCATACGATTAAACCCAGCGTACGATCGTTATTAAACAATACTTATGCTTGTGCGATGGCTTACGTGTTGTGCTTAGAACACTTCTGAATAAATCTATCTATAATATATGTTTGAAAATCATCACACGTTGAGAACGCATCGTGTTATCATACGATCGTTGCCAATTCAATTCAAAATATATTTATTCAAATAGGAAGTACAATACAATTATTTTGAATCGTCCATATTTATATAATTAGGACGACTCCTAAAGGTTATCCAGTTGATTGTTTGTTTTGACAGAACACATATCATTGTCTGTGAACGGCGAAGAGTGGGCGCACATAACAGCCGGGAAGGGACTGCACGCGCGCCTCCCTCGCACCTGCAAGAACCTGCCTCGTTCGAAACTCGAGCAGGGTGAAGCAATCGCACCGTTTGACGACCACGTAAGACCATACTCAAAACTCATTCCCCCTTATTCCAAACCGCGGACTAAAGTTAGTATTGGTTCAAACCTCATGTTGTCTCTGACATCTTTTTAACAAACAAAAGTGAAAGCAACCGCTTTAGTCCAGGTTTAACTTTAGTCTACGTTTTGTAATAAGGCGGATTATCAGCATCATCAGCCTTTTTAAATTCCCACTGCAGGGGTACCAGCCTTCCCTATTTTTTTGTGCCTGGAAAATGCCTTATGTATCCTTCAACCACTGTGGGAGCGAGAAGAAGGTATGTGGGACTCCTCCCTGTCCTCTTCAGCCAGCCCTGGAGATCGCTGATGTGACCAGGGCCCTACCTACGCCCTGAACAGGGCCACTAAAAACCAGACAATACTACTGCACCGTCTCCCGATACGCACTATGAGGATCGCGGTCCCCCTAGTGCGTGCCGAGAGGGCGGGTGTGGTCGCGAAACCCGTCTCCGAATGGCCGCCGCGCCGGCCTTCCCTATAAATGTCAAAAGTCAAAATATCTTTATTCAAATTGGATGCAAAATACAACTCTTTTGAATCGTCCATATTTTTTTCCCTACCACCAATGGAAAAGGAAGCTTGGGCTATGATCAACCGCACGGGACTGGTGGATGCTAACGACTGCAGATGCAGCCAACGGCTTAGCGTGCCTTCCGAAGCATGGTCAAGTTCAAGATATTTAGTTTTTGGTATCGTCCACTGTTACTACTGCCCCCAGTCTACCCTACTACGCCATCGGTTCCCAAATCTGTGGTATAAATAATGTGTAATAAATATATAGTGTACTGAGGTAATTGTAACAATAATAAAAAAATGTATTGAGAAAATATACATAGAGAATGATCTGAGCGACAGTTTACTGGAATCCTTCCCTGAGCGACACTCGTATGAAATTTTTATAGCGTACTTATGATGGAACTAATTCAAATTTCGAACGCTAAGTTTAGCGCATTTTAGTAACAAAACTCCGTCGCGCAGGTGTAATTAAAGAAATCACTATTTTTAATTCAATGTTAAACATTGCTTTTTTTGGTATTCCTTGCCAGATTGTCTTTTAAAAAAAACATATTCCCTTCGACGTACTTAAGGGAAGTCGTCTCAAAGAAAATATAATGTTTGTTTTAGTGTTCACAAAATAAGACTTCTAATAATTCTTTTAGTTCTACATAACATTGGGCGTGGCAGCGGGGGGAATAACGGAATTCCCTGACAACTCATTTTCAACAGGAGGAAGGTCGAAACCTTGGCGAAACTCTGGACGCAGGGGCATGCACAGCTTCTGGGAAGACTTGCCCACCTGGCACGCCACCTGGACACGACCCGAACTGCTGGTAGACCACATCAAGGTCATTGCGTTGTGAATAAACGAGTTGACTATGATTTTTTACGACTTTTCTAATCTGTGGAAGAGAATGTTATATTGCGACAAGAATCCTTACGAATGTGAGTGACAGTTCAGGGAGGGCGCCACTGTCTACGTAAATGACTTAAGTAAATGACATATAAAATGTGACGTTAACAAAGACGGCTGTAGTTCCAATTTTCATCACATTCATGAACACGCTATAAAATACACAATTAACTTAAAATGTGAATGTAGTGTAAATTATAATAAATTTTATGAAATTTCGGTTAATTTATTTATACACCTGTTCAATTTTTTTGTTCTTGAATAAATGAATAAAACACAATGTCACTGTGAAAAATTATGTCCAGTCTGATAATAAAACAACAATCAAAAGATCATTGATGATAATAATGATGGCTGGAAATAAATTTCACAATGACTTGAGATCTATATTTAAACCATAATGCACCACACCTACAAAAACTGACAAGACATAGCAGATACTTATCGTAACTCTATTTTATTAAGAATAATTACAGACAAATAAAAAGAATGCATTCAAACTATGACCTTTTTATTTTTTTAAGCATTAACTGGTATTTATTCAATCTAAAGAGCGGGTTCGAGTCTCGTCTGCTGCCTGGTCCGCGTCATTTGACATTGTGGATTACCTACAATGCGAAGAGATGGCGCTGCCATGCAGCTTAAGAAATTCTAGAAAAAAATCGATTGGTGGTTTCTTTTCTATCAACAAATCTTCAGGTTAAGTCATAAGCACACTTGTTTTTTTTTCAGTTTTCACATACCTCATCAAGAAATTAGAAAAGATACTTATTTGAAATGTCGCATGACGTCACGCCTTGTTACAATTTTTACTTAGAAGTCACGTGACGAGCCTCCACTCCCAAACTTTGAAACGCTTTATCAGTGTTATTTTTGGTTGATATGACAAAAGAAAAAAAATATTATCTGTACTAATATTATGAAGAGGATAGATTTAATTGTTTGTTTGTAATGAATAGGCTCCGAAACTACTGGACCGATTTGAAAAATTCTTTGACGTTTAGAAACCTACATTATCCTCGATGAACATAGGCTATACAGTATTTTCAAAAAAGTTAATGTTCTGTATGAAATCTTCGATAACGTAACCCAGGGCGTGAAAAAAAATACCAAAAAATAACTTTATATTGCTTACTCTGCAAAAGTCATTGACAGTAGAGCAAAATAATGTACTAAAGTTTTATAAAGGACATCAGTATTGATTCTACCATCAATCCCTATTTTTATGGCGGTACAAAATCGCTGGGTCAGCTAGTTTATTTATAATATTATGATACATTAATGTTACTGACGGACTGAATCCAATTTCGTTTATACCGCGTCTTCGCCCTAATAAATAAGTATACGATGTGATTAGTCTCAGTGCAAGTCAACAGAGACAATTCCAGTTTCATATGTAAAAATTTTGATTAGCAAACAAAAGCAGCCTATAAACCTATTTGGCCAGCATACAAAAACTGTGTAAGCAGTAATAAAAATAAGGCTGCAATTCTTAATCTGTAAACAATCATAATAATGGGTGTTAACTCTTGTGGGACCATCCATTTCAAGATTATAGGATAGGGCAGTATAGAAAACATTTCTTTAAGTATTGGATTAGTGAGCATATTTAAATTTAGGTTAGTAATTTAAACCTTAAATTGCATGTTTATTGAAAAATCCTCTTACCATGGAAAGAAAGATAAAAAGATACTTCCTTTTATTACATTGGAGTCCATATTAAATATAAAATTTACTAGGTTAGGTTATGTTAGCGTTGTGACCAAAACGCGAGCGCCGAGCGAGCGAAGCGAGCGTGCAGCGACAGCGGCCGACGAAGCGTCAAAAAAAAGCTTTAATGGAGTGAAGGTTGTTCATCTTTGAAAATTATATGTTTTTGCTTTGGTGGGTATGTAGTGGGGTAATCCCCTACCTCGCCCCTCCCCCTCCCCCGCTACCGCCTCTTTAATCAACGGACGTTAATCTATATTTTTACCGTCCAGCATATTTTTTGCTAGACTATACTAACAGCACAGAATTGATTTTTTTGCTAACTCTCTGATTGCTTATCAAAATTTTATTATATATGGATCACTCAATGCAGCTTTTGCAGTTGGAGTTAGAATTATTGCCTTAAGTTGCTACCCAACTACCCATTTTGGCTTAACAATTGATTTTTTTGCTAACAAAAATACGATTACTTTGCTAAACGGACAAATAGGTAACACCCGTTTTTTAATAATCGCATAAATCCGAGAAAATACCGTAACTTACGCGGTTTTGTCAATTTTTGACAAAGTTGCGTTCGGTACTCGAGGTCACTGACTCAAATTATTTATTTGGCCATCAAATCATCTTTAACTAGTATATAAAAAATCGGAACTCGGAATTTTACTGGACTTTGCATAAAATAATTGAATTTCCACGATAAAAAAAAAATATCTCCTTTTCATTTACTATTTTCTAACATTATTTTCACGAAAAATAAGTAGCCTATATATACTCCAAGATTACCTTATCTCTTAGATTACAAAATTCATCAAAATTTATGAGGTTTGACTCGAAAGCGTAACTGAAAGTCAGAAAACCTACTACAAACTTAGATTAAAACAAAAAGGGACGACAAAACTTAAAAAAACGATAGTCCAGGCGAAATCCGAAAAACACGGTTGAAAATTTACGCTTTCATACGACGAATTTCAGCCGAATTTTGTTCATTTTTTTCGTCACTTAAAGCTCTTTCGCATTTAAAATGCGCTCTATGCTATTTTATCTAACACAAAAGATAAACAAATCATGAAAAAGATATCCCATTAAAATTCTATACGCATATAAAAACATAATTTAAAAAAATTTGCATTAAAAAGACCTAAAACTATAGCCATTCCCAAACTTTGAACGCATTATAATACTACTTAATTAGAGAGTAGCAATGATAAAGCAAATAATTTACGTTGAAATGTAAAGTTTTGCATTCAGTCTGGTTGCTCCGGTCCACTTCACAGTCGATAAACAAGTTTAAGAAATATTGGTTTAACTTTTGTCTCAGAAGAAATTAAATAAGGTATAGGTACGTATTAACGACGAATACGATGGATTCACGGATTCCTCCAGTTCATCAGTCTTCCGTCCATCGGGTTAAGCGACCTCGGATAACACCAAACCGGACCATAACCACATACTTCCCCCCAGTTATATAATTTCAATACATCAACAATTCAACAAGTTTCAGTCGCAAATCGATAGCCATGACAGAAAGGTGTGCTCTAAGCTATGTTTTAGTATTACTAGTTTTAGAACTTGTGAGTTCGCGAAGTAATATTAATTTGGTTAATGATGTTACAAAAGAAACTGGTAAGTTGTACTAATAGGTACTTAGTTAATTTGCGATGTTTGTTGTGTGTGATGAATATTCCAATACCTACATACGTATTTTTTTTCTTTTTTTGTCTTTAGTAGCTCACAAAACAAGTTAGAATGAAATATTAAAATAACAAAGCAATTACAATAGTATAAAACCAAACTGTAACTCTAAATATGTGGGCATAACATGATAAAATCTAATAGACTGTAGTTTACAGAAAAAATAAATAAAAAAGAATTTCAACAACTAAACACAATAAAAAACACTTAAACAAAGGTACAAATTAAACTGATTTTTTGTTAATTAAGTATTAATCTTTGGATTTCTTTCCGAAATTCAAGAAACCGACTACAAAAAATGTCCAAGGAAGAATGATCCTTATGCAGGTTGAATGAATAATATTAACATATGCATATTGTCAAAAAAATACAAATACAGTGAAATCTGGTTAAGTGGGACCTGGATAAGTGAGAAACCTCTATTATTAAGAGATGCAATGAAGTCCCGGTTCCTTTTCATTAAATTGCCTCTGTTAATGGGACTTCTTGAACCTGGTTAAATGAGATTTGAATTCTAAGACTCTTTCGATGTTTACCTCTATAATTGAGACTCTGTAGCTCAATTACCTGTATAAGTGAGACTAATTAATCAGGTTGTAACACGTTTCGACATGTTTGTTTACATACATTTCGCGTCGTCTTTCGCGCATGCTTTGTTTGTCCGTTTCGACCTCTGTAAATGAGGCAACTATAATTTTAAAACTGCTTAATTGGAAAACTACATTGGATACCCTCAATAATTGGTACATATGTCTTGGTCCCTTGAGATCCCAATTAACCAGGTTTCACTGTACCTTATCTAGCACCGAAACCGAATTCATCATTTTGCGGTCGCATTTTAGATGGAACCTGTTTACAAAATGATAAGTAATTTCGATATTAATAAATAACTAATATCGTTAGATTTAATAAGCATGTGAAATCTATATATATATATTAGTCAATTAATAACTGTGTAATAGAATCAAAAAACAGAAATATGATTGAATTTTTGGTAGTAATTTTGAATATCTTAAGATTCTCCACTAAACAATACATCCACTGTAATTTTTATTGTACTTAAGGACGACGAAGAAAATATACTTACAACAATGAAGGCGGATAAAAAACGTCATAGAATTTATTTAAAATGGCTTGTAATTAAACTGAGGAGGGAGACTGAACCGTGACCCACCACATGGGCCCAGTGCGGATTGGTGGGTGCTAACAATGCAGATGCAGCTGTAACCAACAGATCAACGTATCTTCCTAAGCACGGAGGAGCCCGAGAAAGTAAATTATTGGTCACCCATCCAATGACCGATTACTGCTAAACTTGCTTAATTTCTACGATCGCAGCCGAAAGCGCTGACCACCAAAAATAACCGCTTCTTAATAAATTTAAATCATGAGCCAATAGGTAGTTTGAATTGTAGCGAGGAATTTATTCTGCAATTTCCACCTTCTACATTTTTGCGCGGTTAGCGCGTTCGGCTGCGATCGTTGAAGTTAAGCAACTTTCGCAGTGGTCGGTCATTGGATGGGTGACCAAAAATTTACTATCTCGAGCCCTTCCGTGCTTCGGAAGGCACGTTAAGCCGTTGGTTCCGGCTGCATCTGCAGTCATTAGCACCCATCAATCCGCACTGGGCCCGCGTGGTGGGTCATGGCCCAATCTCCCTATTCCATTCATAGGGAAGGCCTGTGCCCCAGCAGTGGGGACATTAATAGGCTGATGATGATGATAATAATGATGACATTTTACAGTCAACCGCATCAAAAGGCAAGATGGCAATTGTGTTGCCACCGACACGACGGTGCGAGGCGGCGAGGCGTGCAGCGGGCAAGTTATATTCGAAGAAGACTTCTCCACCTTCAGGAAGGACGTGTGGCAGATCGAACATTACATTCCTGTAACCTCACATCAGGTAAATCGTATACTGATACCTTTTTACCCGACTGCGCAATACAAGAGCGCGAAGCGCGACGCGCAGACAGGGTATAGTGTTTAACAGTCTATATATGTATGTATGTTCCTTTGTGGCACACTAGAGGCCAAACGCCTGCACCGATTTTAATGATTCATGCGTCAATCGATTCGTCTTAATCATGGGAGTGCTACTAAATATATGATAGTAATCAAAATACAATGTGGGGACAATTAGGCGCCATATTGTGACAAAGTAAAAAAAATAAGTTGGCGATATATGTCGAATGGGGTATCATTGTCTAGATCAGGGGTTCCCAACGTTTTCTTGGTCAGGGACCACTTTTACATTATTATTTTTTGGGACGGACCACTATTTAGTCACTAAATAACTAAATTTTAGTGTAATAAAAATAAACTGTAATAATCAAACTGAAACTTTAATTAAAAATCTAATATGAAATTAAATAAAAAGAAATAATAACATTTTTAGCGGGCGCGCCCGCTAAATTTAAAACCATTTACGGACCATATTTTGGCTTCTGCGGACCACTGGTGGTCCACGGACCACTGGTTGGGAATCATTGGTCTAGATAATCGAAAATCATGTTTAGGTTCCTGACACCATTCTTCATTTTCTAAGACTGTTTAAGGATCTACAACGAGTTAAAGTTTTATATTAACCATTTGCGCTTTTAATTTCAATCTTACGTTTGTCTTATCTTACGTTACTAAATGGATTTTTGATGAATCAAAACTTAATAATAATATAGCTCATATATAATAATAACATAAAGATATATGCATATTGATTCTATTGAGAATAATAATATAAAGATGTCAAGTATATGCTGGAGGTCTGCGCAATCGAGCTAGTTAAAGAAAATATACTTTTAATTGTAATGTACTGGAACAGACGGGAGGAGGTCTTATTAGCCTTTTTAGTCGATTAAATAAAATTCTGAATGATGTAAATAGCAAATATATAAAATACAAAGTAATAATAGGTGGAGATTTTAACATTAACTTATTAGATCGTAACAAAAAGGCATTAGAATTCTTAAACTTTATGTTAGAATTTAAATTTACTCAACATATTAAGGAACCGACACATTTTACACCAGCATCTTCAACATATATAGACCACATCTTTACCAATTTTGATAGTAAGCACATAAAAACCTCGATGGAGGCTTTATCATACATATCACTTAGGTATATACGTAGAACTCAAGGGAATCGTTATCATACGTAGAAGGAATAGGGAGATTGAGCCATAATTCGCCAAGCGGAGGGTCCGCGCGGATTGGTGGGTAGTATATACATATTTTTAACTTCTTCTTCTTTTTGGCAAATGGCGGTGCACTTTTGTGGATTTCGCCAGACTCGAGTGATTCAGCTTGGTTGTTCAATAGGAATTGACTTTGCTTTTTTTTTTAAGTATGTTGTGAAAGCACAATATGTGAAAGAAGTAAAAAATGTACTTGAATTTTTGTAATTGGATATCTGTTGTCTTATCTCAAAGGTAAGAGACAAACACAATAAAAAGTCAGTAATGTTAGTTGGTTAATCTCCTCCTCCTTGTGTCGTGCTCCTCATTGCTGAGGGTCGTGAACTCCACGCATTATTTTGTGGACGATCGCTTTCCACTTATTGCGGTCTTCCGCAGTGTGGAGTGCATCGCGGACTCCAGTTTTGATATTGTCGCGGATCTGATCTGTCCAGCGCATGGGGCTTCTTCCTCTCGGTCGCCTTCCCTGTACTTTTCCTGTCACCAGGAGCACTTCCAAGGTATCGTTTTTCTTCCTTGCTAGGTGACCGAAGAATTCGAGGATTCTACGCAAGCAGAAATTGGACAGCCTAACGGTGACTCACACTTCTTTAAGAATTGACGCATTTGTGCGGTGGGCTGTCCACGGAACTCGTAACATTCTCCTCCAACACCACATCTCAAATGCGTCAATACGAGATCTGTCTGTCTTCTTGAGGGTCCATGTTTCCGCACCGTAAGTGAATATGGAGAACACCAGAGTTCTCACCTCTGTCCAGATCCTGCCTAGCTGGGTCATCGCGCTTTTTGCCATACCAATCCGCTTCCGAATATCCGGTTCGCAGGAGCCATCGCTGCATATAGTAGAGCCAAGGTACACAAAGCTGTCCACATATTGGAGATCGAGTCTCCCACTGAGCTCCAGTTGCTTTGTTCGATCTATGACCATGACTTTGGTTTTCGATTTGTTGATCGACAGGCCAAGTTCTCCGCTCGCTCGTTCCAATCGTTCGTTGGTTAGTCTAGAGACAAACAATTACAAGCGTATATTATTTTTGGTTATATATTCACAAAGTAGGATAATAAAGGGAGAGTTAGCATAGGTTAGGAGTGTTCATTCCAAACGAGTGTTCCACGATACTTACGCAATTTTTTTCTCTGTCGGAGGCTCTTATGGAGACCCATGGACCTGTGCCTGCCTACTTTCAATACGTTCTTGAGTGAGAAATAAAACCTTCGCCACTATATCGTTTCACAGGAGTCCCCGTTCGTGTCGTACCAGAATGACAAGTCACTAGTGTACGTGGCCGACGGGTACCTTCACATCGCCCCCAAACTCCAGGAACAGATGCCCGGCTTCACCAACGAGTCCATATACCTTGGAACCTTGGACCTGTTTAAAGGGTTAGTGATTTTAAACATTAATTCTCATAGAAATCTATTTTGAAAAAGGTTTAAGACTCTCTATGAAATATACTTCCTTCATGCAGTGGCGGCGCTAGGCGTCAGCGACGTCGGCTACCGCCGACGGCCTCGCGCCTGACGGGGCCTCGCAAAAAATTTTTACGTTACCTATTTATTTTCGTTTCTCCTGGCCTAGCTTAGGTAGCCGACCCCGAACAATTCGGGGAAAAAGCTAAGCAGAACACAGATCGTGCGTGCGTGATGGAAACCAGTAGTAGCTTTACGGGTATTCAGAATCGTCTGTCTGGCAACACTATTTTTGTAATTAAATAATTATTTTTTGTTTCAATAAAACTAGTTTACTCATACGTTATTTTATAATTTGGCTCACTTAATTTAACGGTTTTTTACTGCGAAGTAAAATAGGCCTCGCGAACTTGATGTCGCCGACGTCCACATGTGGTCTAGCGCCGCCACTGCCTTCATGTTATGTTGCGAAGGGGGCGAAGAAGTTTGTGTAATATATAGTGTTATATACCTAATATACATAAGGTTTCTTGTTTTAGTGTTCCGAAGTCGACAAGTTACCCTTATAGTTTCGTTTTTTCCGTCGGTACAGCCGCAGCATGGTTCAGGAACTATTAGCAGTAACCAGTACTAACATAGAACAACACGGCAACCGTGTTACTAAATAAAACACAAAAAAAATGTAATTGACCCGACATCATGGTGAAATTAAACCATTATTCTTTTTTTCTTGGCGTTCCTCCCCTAATTGATTATTCAGCGAACTGCCCTCATTCGTCAAGGTATACCGAGTTATATGACGTTAATTCAATTAAAAAGCTTTTAATCTTAAATCGTTATGCTATTTCACAGCTGTACATCCCGTGCCGAAGAATGTTACCGCCAGGCGTCCGGAGCGGACATTTTACCGCCTATAGCCAGCGCGCGAGTTAGGAGCGTCAAGTTCGCCTTCACATACGGAACAATACATGTCAGAGCCAAAATGCCTCAAGGAGATTGGCTGTACCCAGGTCAGAGGTCTTCCAAACCATCAATTCTTCATCAGCCTATTGATATGCTCCATAATTAAAGAAAGGTAAGAAAATAGCCATATCCGAGTCGGTCTCGCGCAAGAACGGTTGCCGCACGCAAGTCTGTATCATCATCATACAAGGTTAAAAATTATCTATACTAATAATAAATCTGTAGAGAGGTCAATTCTGTACATGAAATATATTTTCAAAATAACTATCAGGGGATGATTAGTAATCGATACTGATGCCAAAAATGCAATCAGTAAAATTTTTGTCTGTCTGTCAGTCTGTCTGTCTGTATGTATGTATGTATGTATGTTCCTTATAGAAACAAAAACTACTCGACGGATTTTAACGAAACTTGGTACAATTATTCTTCATACTCCTGGGCAGGTTATAGTATACTTTTCATCACGCTACAATCAATAGGAGCAGAGTAGTGAAGGGAAATGTTGGAAAAACGGGAGAAGTTACTCCTTTTTTTAATCTTCCGTAACGTGTGCAGCTTTAATGGTTAAAGTTACATAGAAATGACGGAAATATTCTACATAAAATTGTCTAGAAAATATCCCGCAACAGCATATGTCTATCTTTTATGGTTGACTCACAATAACACATGTAATTATATAAATAAAGTCATTGTTTATAACCTTGTGTTATACCTGAGAACAAAAACTATAGTTTACACTACAGCTCTACACCGAAGCGAAGCGAGGGCGGGTCACTAGTTTGTAATAAAACTGTTGCGTTCCCAATGGAATTTGCTCAATTGCTCTAATATGCTCTTTTTATCTTTTAACAGCAGCAACAGAACATACAAATAATATGAGTATTTCTTCTGTTACGGTTCATGATAATACAGCCCGCTCACAGACATACCGACAGATAGCGGAGTCCTGTAATAGAGCTACGTTGTCACCCTTTAAATTTGGAATACTTTTTAATAAATATGTTAACTAAAAAGACTTTCTCGTTGTATAAAGAAGCTGGCGGAAAATTAATAACACTTCTGCGTGTGACGCTGAAGATGGAAAGACCCAGGTCTTCAGAACGATTTAGCTATCTACCGTGAGCTCCTTCTTAGTACAAGCTCTCCCGCCATATGCACAAAATAAGTACTTTTAACAGCCTAAATAATTTCTAATTCGTTGGCCTAAAATAAAGGATATTGAATTTGTTACGAGAAAAGGAGGAAAACCGGTTAGTGATGGCGGCAGTGGAGATCCCGGTGTGATCACTTGGGAAGCTAGAAAACCTCAAAACTCATCAGATTGATTGAGAATATCTTAAAATCTTTTATTTTTTTAGAATTACTGCTGGAGCCTTACTTTAAGAAATACGGCCATTCCAACTTCGCTTCGGGCGTTATGAAAATTGCAGCAGCACGAGGCAACAGAGAATTGAGAGTTGGTGAAGAAGAATTTGGAAACGAGGTTTATAATATCATAATTCTATATACCAAATTTCTATAGGTATAAGATAATGATTTTATTTACTAACGACAATGTTTTATATCTGTATACAATATGAAACATTGTTGTTAGTAAACATTGTTGTTAAAATTATAAAAAAAAATATCACACATCGAAAAGAAAACCGTAGGCAGAAACAGACTTTCAAAACGCGACGCCTATTGAGTGATCCTTTTATATGTTAAGAACCACATTAGGAAAATACACGTCGCGTCAAGTTTCAAAAGTCTGTTTGGGCCATTCGGCTTTATCGAAAAATTTACCTTTTGTTCTTTTTATAAAATTAGTGTTTTGACAGATTTTATATGGCGGGGCCGTTATGAACTTAGTTTGCCGGGATGAGCTGCTGTCCAACAAACTACTGGAGGACGGTCAGTGGGGCGACCAGTTCCATAATTACTCCCTCACGTGGACTCCCGGTGAGCACAGTTAACTTTTGAAATGTGATGATGCACATCTCTATCATATAAGGGAAAACTAACTTATAAAGAAGTCTTAAAAGTCTGTGTTTTCCGAGACTGTGACGGTGGATATTAGCTTAAAGTTTAAAGAAATGCAAAAAGAGCGCTTCAATTTATCAGAAAAACCATGTCATCTACATATCATGTTGGTATTTTTGACGTCCACGCTTCTTTAGTGCTATAAATCAAGAAGGAATCGTTTGTATGTAAAAACAAACGTTCTCAACCGATTCCTCCAATTTTTAGCACTAAAGAAATTATTTTCATACACAAAATATAATTTTACTCATTCTATGCTTCAATTTCTAGCCTTTTTCGATAACCTGTATTTCAAGAAACTAAAAGCCCTCTAAAATGCCAAAAATAATCAATTTTCTTATCACTACGAAAGACGTCTAATGTAGAGATTCATTAAGCATTTACAAAAAAACATAGAGGCCTATTATAAATACTACAATTATTATTTCATGAGTAAAATTTCTTTCACATATATGTAATTTTCGAGAAGAAAATCTCCGAGAGCCAAACCTCGAATTTTGTAATTTTTATACGCAATTTTCAGCGTTCACTACTGTTGTCCCTATCGCACGGTATTTGCCAATGCGCGACAGCAATAGTTTTTTCAATTACCTATTTCTCAATGTCTCTTAGCTAGTGTCCGCTCTTAATTTTGATTCGTTCAGGCACGGTAATATTATCTATACAGTATTCTATCTTCATACAAACAGTCGGTCATACCTACGCCACTCGAGTTCACGCGGCACCCGGTGGGCATCCAGTCGCGAATGCGCCGCAGCGACGACCGAACGGTGTCAATTGTTTTTTAAGCAGTTAGCCGTGCTTAAACGTTTGTATTGTGAATATTTGCTTGAATTAAGTAGATACCTACATAATTTAATATGGCAAAGAGAAATAGTCGATATTGTGCTGTTTTTGGTTGCTTGAACTCTTCAATAATTAAACTTTTACATATGAAATAAAATATTTACAGTCACAAATCTAGAAAGAAATTCATTTATGTAGATGAAATTAAAATACCGAAGGCGGGCAGCCCTACCGCGTGGATACGCCCCGCTCGGCCGTAGGCAGTTATTTCAAGGACAGGGCTGAGTCACAATACTGTATAGATAATATTACCGTGGTTCAGGGTACATAAGTCTGTCGGTGGACGGCGCGGAGTGGGCTCGCGCGGTGGCGCCGGGCGGACTGCGCACGCGCTTCCACTACACCTACTGCAAACACCTGCCCATAGAGAAACTCTACACCGGCACCAAGATGGCTCCCTTCGACATCGACGTGAGTTTTATCATCAGCCTATTAATGTCCCCACTGCAGGGGCACCGGCCTTCCCTATAGATACATAGGGAGTTTGGGCCATGACATGACTCACCACGCGGGCGCAGTGCGGATTAGTGGGTGTTAACTTAGATTAAAACAAAAAGGGTAGATACGGTACGCTCATACTTGCATCAAACAAAAACTGATCCCACGGCAGCGCGAACGGGACGGCGAGATCCGCGTCACTGCATTACCGACCCGAACGAAACAGCACGTTAAGTTTCAACGGCAGCGCGAACGAGACGGCGAGATCCGCGTCACTGCACTACCGACCAATCACGCGACCAGTACTCGACGTCACTCCCGAATAAGATTCAAAACAAACAGCAATTTTTATGAAAAAATATATTTTATAGTACTTACGAATGAAAAGTGATGCCGTGGGTTTTATTTTTGGGTATTTGTGGGTTCTTGAGCAATTTGAGCACTTTTTAAAAACACACTTTGCTTGAACTCTTCAATAATTAAGCTTTTTATACGAATGCGTTTTTATTATACTATTAAATTTAATAATAAAGCTTTTCATACGTCTCAGTCGAGGCACAAATATATTTCTGTCTCAAATCTATTTTTTTTTATCAAATAGGTATTACACTTAAATAACAGGTATTTTATGTAACACTTCCTAATTCATTCACATTTTTTTTCATATGAAATAAAATATTTACAATCACAAAACTAGAAGGAAACTCATTTATGTAGATGAAATTAAAATACTGTAGGCGGGCAGCCCTACCGCGTGGATACACCCCGCTCGGCCGTAGGCAGTTATTTCAAGGACAGGGCCGAATCACAATACTGTATAATATTACCGTGCTTACGGCGCTTATTAACTAGACGATTTCTACCCGAGCTAGTGCCGGCTAATCTTGTTCACGAGCACTATTTGTACGTTTATACCGAACCAAAAGCGCCGGTATCATTAACAAACATCCATAATGTCAAAAAAAGTCATCTCGTTAACAAGCGCCCTTACAGTGCTTACTTTGGGGCTAGGTTGTTTGTTCTGAGTATAGGAAATATTTATTTTATATTTGTTTTCTTTAGTTCTACATAAGTCTGGGGGTGGCAGCGGGCGGTATAACCGAGTTCCCCGACGACTCGTACTCCGTGGGAGGGCGTCAGAAGCCGTGGCGCAACTCTGAGCGGAAGGGCATGCTCAGTTTCTGGGAGGACTTACCCGCCTGGCAATACACCTGGACACAACCTGAACTATTAATAGACCATATTAAAGTCGTCGCATTGTGAATACTTAGAATTACTAAATATCGAAACCATCATCAACTTAAAACGTAATAAATAAATAAAAAAAAAGAATAAAAAACATTAGAGCAAGCGCACATTGAGCCACTACTAGTATCCGCGCAAACCAAGCGTTCGAATGGCCGCCACTGAGCCACTAATCCAATAGCGGCGGCGACCCGTGGCTGCGTCTAGTGGCTCAATGTGCACTTGATCTTAGTAGACTATAAAAGTTGCCTCGTTAAGAATACTTTAAATGTAATCTCAGAAGAAATAAAGTGCATAGGTAGAGTGTGATAAGAATCTTTATGAAGGTGGCGAAAATTTAAACAAACGCCGCAACGTCTTTGTAAACGTTTTTTTGTATGCCTTTTACGGTCATTAACGTAGACAGTGGCACCCTCCCTAAACTGTCACTTACATTCATGAATATATTTTGTAGCACTGTTATTTCATTTCTCCGCCGTGAATTCTTCGCTTACTAACCTTAAGGCTTATTTATACACTTCGGCAAGTACAGCGGCGAGTTTAAAAATCAGACAGTTAAGCATGCGTGTTAAGCGGTGATTACGACACTTAACTCGTCAAAACCGTAGGTTAACTCGTTACTGTACTTACCGAAGTGTCAATCATCCTAATTCGAGGTTGTAAGTCAGATCGAGGTTGTGAGTAAGATTCGCCGTTGTTTCTATTTGCCGAATATCAAAATACTATGACAAAATTATTGACATTTTAGTACATAATGACTCTGGCTTTGCATGCGTTTATAACCAATATAACAGCAGATAAAAAAAAAGTTGAAAGAAGGTATACAGCCACCCTGAATAGGGATTTTTGAAGATACAAAATTGTGTCCCGCTCAAGTTGCACCCATAACCTTCAGGCATTTATTTTATGTTGGTTTGATTCTGGCCTGAGAGTATTAATACAATTAATTATCTTACTTATCAAAAAGCCAAACCAAACTAAAATAAAACTGAACACCACCATGCAAAACAGTAATAATGTAAGTAGTAAGATGAAATTTAGTTTTTAAAATAAATATTTTAAGTATATAGTAAGATTATAGGAAATAAAACGACTTTTTTTAATTATACATTGGGCTATTTTTATTTGAACTTCTAGCACAAAATATGGCCGCACGACAGTTGAAATATATTGTGCTCTTCTAGACAAGTACAAATTGATTTGGAATTCGAATATAATTTAGTAATTCAACTATCTTGCGACCAAGTCAGTGTACACGTAAAACTTAGTGTTGTAGTGATGTTATGTGACTAATAGTTTCAATCCAAGGGAGTAACCACATTCAAGTTGTCTGTCCCTTTCTCACTTTTATCATCGGTCATTTGAGTGAAGGAGATAGCTAAGTACATATAGATTCAACAGTCGACGCAATATCTCACTCGGTACAGAATGCGATAAAAAAGGACAGAGAACATGTTGATTCTTGTCTGCAGTCGAAAAATTTGGTAGTCAGTTACTTTAAGTCGCAAATCGCTTGCACTCGATTCCAAATGGTTTATAAAGTTAAATAAAACTAGTTTTTACGGGTTAATGTACGAAACTTTATTTATTTATTGACGTTTCGTAGCCTTTACAGACTACGTCGTCAGAATCAAACTTTTATTTAATTGTAAATAAAAGTAATAAACAAATTAAATAAAAGTTTGATTCTGACGACGTAGCCTGTAAAGGCTACGAAACGTCAATAAATAAATAAAGTTTCGTGCATTAACCCGTAAAATCTGGTTTTATTTAATGAGTGATGTGCGTGAAAACCTAAGAAACAAATAGGTTTATAAAGTTTCTTCTCGTGTTACTAAGATCATTTTCAAAGCACAATAGTTTTGACAAACTTTCGACCGTAGATTGTTTACTCCCTATAAAAGATGAATTCGCCGACTTTAACCCCCTTATTCCAAAACATGGCGTAAATTTAATCTTGGTTTGAAAACTTATGTTGTCTCTGTCTTCTTTTTAGCAAACAAAAGTGACAGCATCAGTTTTGGTCCGAGTTTAGCTTCACTCCGTGTTTTGTAATAACGCGGTAAAAGTTCTATTATAATAGGTATTCATATTTTTTCATTCAACATCACAAGTACAGAAATGAGCACTACAGATCCCGTTATGGTCTAAAAACTAAAGATAAACGCAAGTAATGTGTGCTTAGTTACAGCGTTTGAACTAATAAATTGTAGAAGAAATATTAATAACTCAACACAGCTCAACCATGTCTTATTCTTTCTTACAGGGGAGTGGGAGAGAGTCTCGATAGTTCTTACGTAAGATCACGAAAAAAGTTAAATTAATACATTGAAAAAGCGAGGAGCTCGATGGCGCAAGTGGTTAGCGCGTTCGGCTGCGATCGTTGAAGTTAAGCAACTTTCGCCGTGGTCGGTCATTGGATGGGTGACCAAACAAAAATTTACTATCGCGAGCTCCTCCGTGCTTCGGAAGGCACGTTAAGCCGTTGGTCCCGGCTGCATCTGCAGTCGTTAGCACCCACCAATCCGCCCTGGGCCCGCGTGGTGGGTCATGGCCCAATCTCCCTATTCCATCAATAGGGAAGGCCTGTGCCCCAGCAGTGGCGACATTAATAGGCTGATGATGATGATGATGATGATTGAAAAAGCGCGGGCATCCGCGTGAGCACCGAGGTTCGTTCGGATGTGTATAGGTAAACGATTTCCATGGCAACGGACCCCGCCACCCGCTAGAGTGGTAAAAGGTAAAGATGAATTATTAATACCAAACTTTACTACTACCAAAACATTTCAAAAAATTGTTACTTTGAAAAACAAACCAAACGTACGTATTAAATACTAGCTGTGCCCGGTGATGTTACCCACGCTTTATTAGGGATATATTCCCGCAGTAAAACGAAGCCAGGGTGTTAGCTATACCAAATTTTATTAAAATTGGTCTAGCCGTTTAGACGTGTAAAAGTAACAAACATTCACACTCAAAAACTTTCGCCTTTATAATATTAGTTTGATTAAACAGCAGGGAGGGGGTCCACCTTATCTTATTTTTTCTTATAGTAAAGGAGGGAGGGTCAAAAACAAGCGAAAATATTCTTACGTAATAAAGGAATGCCACCTAGACAGACCTTATTAATCGTCCCCACTGGTCGAGGGTGCCAGTTGATGTGCCTGTGATTGGCCTGTGACACATTTTGTAACGGTCATCGACAGCTTACTCGAAGCGAACGGGTCCTACGTCCACATATCGCAAAAACACAAATAAATATGAAAAACCTAACACACATTATTTACGTTTCACAATCAAATGCCTTGATCCATTTAAGTAATTATGAGATGTCAACAAAAACAATAAATTCTCGGACGTTACTCATACAAATTTACATTAAGAAGAAGTATATTTAGTATTATCATTCAATGTTATCAAATAGAGATAAAAACAGTTCAGAGACTTTTATGTAGAATACAAACGATCGACCGATAATGACATATTTCTTCAAACTAACAAATTCCATATTCGCGTGCACATGCCATGCATTATAACACTCAAAGGGAATTTAACAATAGATGGCGTTGCGGAATATCACAAAATGTAAACAAACAAACAAAGATGATTATTGAGTTGGTTAAAGTATATAATTAATATTGACTAAGTTGCAATGTTCATTGGTAAATTGTTAGGCCGCTAATGCCATATCCACAGATTAAATGTACTTTCAGTTTATAACTCCGAACATGTGAATAATTATGCGCCTTCCTCACCGGGTCATGATAATCTATCTGATTAAGGGCCTGCGCTGCGTTAAGCGCGAGCACGGAGCAGACATCCACTCCGAGTTGCCGCTTAACGAAAGTTATTCCGAAATATTCATTAGCATTCGATTTTATAAAAGACTACAATAATACATTTTTCAACTCTCTACATTTTCATTAATTATCGATACAAAGACGGGATAGAAATCTGATTATCATTAGGTACTTATTATCTACGAATAGTCAACCCTACATACCGTTTCAATATCATGGTAGGTATATTTAAACATCAAAACGTGTGCCTGAAGAGATGTCGCACGCAAAGGATTTTCGCACTTATGCGCATGCCTCCAAGTGTAACATTCCTCTGAAAGTAACAACAGCTAAGATTCGATTTTAAATGGACTATAAATAACTAGATTCTATTGGATAGGACAAATTCACTGTTTACAGATATGACTCTCAATCACATATATTTTCAGCTACTTACATTTAACCACATTATGATTACAATTAACAACATAAGCACAATAAAGACAAGAGTGTGGTGTACAAAAAAAACCTACCATATAATGCGAAATAACATACATGGCAACACCGAAAGACGCCATTTTATGCCGTCACGTAACAAGCTCGATTTGAAATATTAATAGAATCTAAAGAGAATAAATTACTATCCTAGAGTCCAATACTCCACGTAATATCAAGCACCATCTTAGACCATTCCATACATATAGATTATTTGTCAGTTTTGTAAAACATAATGTATTCAAGGAGATGGATAAAAACATAAACCAAATATGTTGTATCCTGCAACCTTGCTGTCGAACCGAAAAGACAGCATGCTAAACGGAATGTCATTCAAAGATTTGTAATATCACTGGCTGGATTTTACACTGCAATAAAAAGATGTAGCCCCCACACAAATAATATCCAATACCCGTAAAAATTGCGTTATGAGAAAATCTAATTTCGTAACAGGACGCATTCAATATAAACAACCCGGTGTAAACCAATCATCAATATTATACATAACACAATACAACGTTATAATCTGTAAACGCAATATTCAATTCATTATTAAAATATTTTTATTCACAACTTTAAACTTTTTGATTCTTGTGTCGCGTTAATGCAGCATCGTATAAATATATGTAGATATAAGACAACATTAATTTGCAATAATTTTAGTTGAATTGATATATAATTCCCGAACATGTAGCCTCCGAACGAACGCCCGCATAAAAAAGACGTCAATATTGATTAAAGGTGACACTATCTATTTCTTTGCTATAACAATGGAATAAAATAAAACGTAACTTTTAAAAGCTTTCAATTTAATTAACGCGTGTTGACTTTTGTGTACGCTCTGTTAGAATTTCCATGTCAAACATTTGATTCAGGTGACGCCTATATACGTCCCAACCACGGAATAGATAAATGAGATATGAGAAACACGTGGGCGTGGCCAGCGTGTAAAAAACCCTAGCGCTATTTAAGCGCTAATAAAAAGGGGTTATTTATGTTTTTAATATAAATTACTAACATAGAATTAAGTTTGTATACTAACACGGATCTATGTCGTTAGAACAATTAATGATTTATTTTTGATTTGATTTCAGCAAGATTTTTTTTTTCCTTGTTGAAACGAAGTTTTTAGACTTGGCGTATGGGTGCTAGGCGAAAAAAGTCACAACCGTCTATTGTTTCGTAGCGTATTTGTGTGTAGTTGTGTTGAACATAAGTTTATTTTTAACTACGTTCCAACCGAATGTTCTACGACGTTGTCCTAATACAACGCGATAACGCGAGCTTCGTGCGAATGAGCGATGCGACTATCGTACGAGTCGACGATCAAACATATTGATCTAGAATAGGTGTCTTAATAGGCGACCGCGCGATGCATTCGCGCGCCTAAAATGTTTAAAAATCTATTCACGCAAACTTAGTTCGTGGTGTGGTGTCCTAACTGAGGTTATCTAATTTTTAACAAAGCACTTTGCGTTATACGACTTCTTTTTTTTCGCTATCGAGTCCCGCTATATAGTTTATCCATACATTTCCCGAAAGTAAAAATTTATCATTTACAACGTCTATGGTTGGCGCTGGCGTTAATTCAAACTGTGTAGAGCGATCATAAATCGTGATCGCGTATTCGCGTTCTATTCAGGACACCCACGTTTGCTTTTATCACTGTAAGTAGGCGCAATAGGGTAAAGCGGCGATACTGGTTCCAATGATGACCTTTGAATTAACGAGAAAATTTTTAATAATTCCATGTTACTAGCCATAGTAACACATTGCCGTAGAGTTCCAAGTGTGCTCGCTTATCCGACGTCATTTAGTGTGAAAATATTGAGCAATCACGATAGGCGGAGACAGTGTTCCCAAAAGCAATGCTACCATTCAGTGTCAGGGCATACCAAACTAAATAAACTCGTGTCATTTAAGAAAGGAATCGCAACGTAAGGAATTCTGTCCCTCTCGTTCATGCTATCCTAAGATGCGTGCGAGAGAAAAAGAACTTCTTCGCTTTTTCTTTAATGACACAATATATATTACTGGAATATAATACATATTTGAAAAAATACAATCTCTTTAGTTCATAAACGCTCCATTCAAATCCGTGAAGGTACTATATATAATAAATAGAGAGTATTTGCAAAATAACAATTTGAAATAATTCGTATTGCGCAGCAATAGAACTGATAATATAATTGCAATGCATTGTATGCCTACATTCCTGAATTTGGACATTTAAATTTTTGATATATTTCAATTATGCCAAACGATGTTATGTATTGTAGATAATACATTTATTCGTTTTCTCTTTTAGTAAACTTCTAGACACATTTCATAAAAGCTGACGATAATATCATAGGAAAATTAAACAACACAAATTCACTATTTATATCACTGAAATAAATGCCACTTAGATTAAACAATAAAAAAAAATAGTTGCTATAGAATTTTTACACGAAACTGTATACAGATATTTTATACATTATTAAATTAACACAAATTGTTCCAATGAATGATTAAATTTATGAATATGTACCAAGCATTCTTTTGATTCCATGTTAAGAAGTAACTGATACAATTACCAGTATTTAATACAACGTTCCGAATATAGATCCATTCTTTTATTTAACCAACCAGGAATCGATTTATGATTTTGAAAATTCATCTAAGAAATCAATTGTGATTTTTTTATCAACATAACACACTTTTTTTGTCAATCTAAATCTAAATATTCCCAATATTGTACAGCTCTTGATACTACCTATAATGATCTTGTTAAATTTTAAATTGCTACAATAATACCAAATAATTTTAATGGTATGTATTTACAAATACTGTTTTGTGTAATTTATACGTTTTGAGAAATCTCGAATATGTTGTGTTAAACATTGTACTTAATATGAATAAAATATGTGTTATATAGTGTACAGATGTGTGTAAAAATATTTTTTCAGTTTACAATTCACTGCACACAATGGGATGTGAGCGACTGTACTAACACAATTGGTTACTACGTGATATAATATATTATATTTTAAAATATTAATAAAGGATTTTGTCTATGCAGTATGTGTTGCTAAATTTAAGAAGAACGTCATTTCAATAACACCTACTCAATAATTTAGACCTTATTTGATTCAGTAAATCGATTATTTATAAAAAAAATATTTATCTGAGTCTAAAAGGGTAAAAATAAAATTATTAATAACATAAAAATTAAATAATTGGAACTGATATAAAAACGACAGTTCAGTAATGAATACATTAATAGTTTTTTTTTTTCAGAATATGTCATTGTAAAACTGAAAAGATCTCATATAAGATAAACCATTATATTATTTGAAAAAAAAATGTATACGTCAAAAAAGTGTGATAGGTAATTTTCACAGATGTAGAATATAAAACAATAAAAATAAATTTGCAATTATATTTATTGTGTATAAATACATAAATATAATGTAGGTAATGGTTAAAAATATGTGTTACAGACATAATTTATATGAAAAATTCTAGATCATGTCTGTTGCAGTTTTTTTTAATGATATATTGCACAGTTTAAGATTCATCGATACATATAAACTACCCAGCTTATAAGAAACCACCTTCGAGGGGGCACTAAAGTAGTGAAATAATGTGTTTTATATACAGTAAAGTCCCTTTGTAGCTACTCTAAATAAGAATATGTGATTGGTTTAAATTCATTATCGCTAAAAAGCGACATCTAGTGAGGAGAACAGTATACCACTTGACGAGAAATTTATTAATCTATGAAATTTATATTGCGTACATGAAATTTATAAACATGTGTGTAATTTAGCTTGAGAGCTAATTCTAAAGGTGAATGAAAGTGAACTTGTAAAAATCGCCATACCATACTGACATCAATTCCATAGATTTCTCGTTCAACGAAAAACCGCTTAATCTTTATGCAGCTAAACGTCAATTTGGCATGTTAAAGTTTACTAATATTCCTTAGCTTCATTTACAATATACATTGATGTTAAATGTAGATTAGATATGAGTCTCTTTCATTATTTTTTAGCTTACATCCTGCTCTAAACCTAATTCAGATCCGATCTTATTCAAAATGTTGAAAGGATACAAAAAATCATGCAAGTCATCCCACATTTCAAATACAGTTCATGTCTCAATATATATGATTACGTATGTTTTAAACAAAACAGACGACCACCAACATATCAAACGTAAAGCGCTCCGAAATGGATTATTCTAGAACATTTCTTGCACTCAACAATCTTCATATATATTAAGATATAAAAAAAATTGGTCTATATATAAACTACAACCATTGTTACATTAAAACTATTTCGTTCTAAACGGAAAATAACTGCATGCACACGGGGATCACGCACATTTGCTTCAAAAAACAACACCATTCAATATTCCGATACACGAAAAACAAAAAAATGGTTGCCTGTAAAGTCGGTTTTACGGGCGAAGATTTTACGTGACAACGTCTTTTTCTCGGTAGAATATTTATTGATATGAATATAATTAAATTGCACAATAGGAACAAGGAATTGAATGAAAATAAGAATTGCACAAATTTTAACTATAGAAATATATTTTGTTTACTAAAACATTGTACATGTAAACTTAAACTTAACACGAGAGACTCATCGTAACGTTACCGAGCGTTACACTTTTTCATAAGTGACTCCCAGCCGCAACCTAATTTAAGACGTTGTCACGTCAAAAAATCACTATTACCACTTAAAATATACGGGGAAAAACCATCATTAAAAAAATATAAATAATCAATTAAATTACATTTATAAATTAAAAAAAATACTGCCACTACAACATCGAGAACTAAATGCCGAACTTGCCGTCGTAAATACAGTACGGTTATTTTCTACACTGAGTACAGCCGTCACTGGATACTGTAACTGGTACGCGTACTATCGCGTCACTGGGTGCGTAAAACACAGTTCCACGTACCGTGGGTCCAATTGCCTAACAAGATTGTTGGCTATCGCTATCACTTACGATTTCAATTTGTTATTTCTGACCGTCGAAGGTTTTCAAATGCCTCGCAATCTTTTTTGACCTGTAACATCTTTACTCTCGCTTTCGTGCAATTTGTGGAAGTTATTACGTGAAGTGGGCCGGAAGTGTGTAACAGGAAGTTTGGGAAGCGCGCGCTATTTGATTTGATTTTAGAACATAATGTTCAAATGGCTTATTCCTTTTGTAGTAGGTTTTATTTCTTTTTTCACTAATATAAGGTGAGGTTTCAAATGTTACACATCATACGCGACTACTGTAAGGCTCGCTCGTTTTTTTCTGTTTCATTGAGAATAACAATATTAAAAAAATGAGCGTGAGCTATTTGAAAATCTTCCGTGGTCAGAAATAACAAAATGAAATCGTAAGCGACAGCGATAGCCATAGAAATACCCTTAGGCGATTGGCCCCAATAACGTCGTCGCAGTGGCTGCTCACTGCTCCTTCCTCTGGGTCTCGTGTCATACGAAGTCCATAGCGTCGTGGGCCTTAGTCGTGAACTTTCCGTACGATCGCCGCTTGAGGGTCCTCTCAACGAGTTTTTTCACTTCGCTCACAATAAACACGCTGGACGTGAGGCAGACTAAGAATATGAGATCTGAAACCGAATAAATGGCAGTGAAATTTATATTTATGTCTCAAATGCATTGTCAATATTTTCGCTGAACTGTGTATTTATTAACGAACCTGACCGATTTCAAGCAAACTATTTTAGACTAGCTGCCGCCCGCTGAAAATATTATCGCTTTTTGTAGGAAGTGATTTAACTGTTACGAAGTAACTAATAAGTAACTATTTAGTGCCTTGCAGCTTAAGGCTAGGAAAATTTCGACGTGGCCATCAGGGCGGTAGTAGCATAATTGGTCAGTGCATTCGCCCGGATTGCGTAGGGTGCGGGTTCGAGTCCCGTCCGCTGCCTGGTCCGCGTGGTTTTTTTTTTCTAGCAAAACTTTTCTTTAGATTTAAACTACTAAGTAATCTGTTGAAATGATATGGAATATGAACTGCGCAAAAAAGTGATTCCACACAAACTGCGATCAAGTGGGCGGGGCGAAAACACTGCGATCAACATGCCGATCGTGGTATTGGTTGGATATTTCTGTGTACGAGTTCCGTAAGTATTGAAGTTTAGCTGTATGAATTTGGAATCATTTTTAGCGGCCTTTGTTAGAGAGTGATGCTTCCATATCACTTCTAATTCGTTACTAATTAATACATACCATGTGCAGTGAGAGCTTCGGTCTGGAACACTCGCTGAAGTGGAGGAAAGTATATTACTAACATCTGCCCCACCAGAGACAATGATACCGCTATCAGGAACATTCTGACATAGAAAAGGACAATTAGTTAGAAATAAAAAAATATTTAGTATGTTATTATTATTATTATCATATTTTTCTAATGGCAACACTTTTTTTTATTAAGGAATGGCAGGAAATTGTGAGACTAGTGTTCGGTGTAACCTGCTTTTTCAGTGTTAATAAGAATACAAGACAAAAAGCAATTCTACCATATATTTATCTTGTAAAATTTGCAATTAAATACATCATTAGCTTTGTTGACTAAAGTGAAACAGTATTAATTTTACCATTACACTTTCATGCACTTTGCTGTATAGGAAATCAATATACATCCGAATATATAAGACGCTAAAGTCTCCAGATAAAATAATGCCCAAAAACTCGAACTATATTCATCAGACTATAAGATGTCTTTTTAGTATTAAAAATGACATTTAAACTGGAAAATTAATTAAAGTTTTATTTTATTTGAACAGACCTCTGTCCTGTCTCACTATGCGCACCATTCAAAGACCATTTGACAGCAATTGCCAAATGATGTTGCTATTATATAAAAATAAAGAATTAACCATGAGTTCCCTGGGAGTGGGAGCGATGAGATCGCGAGGCTAACAGTTCATATAGGTATTGGCTGCATCGCTATCTCTTTCGAGAACATTCGATCCATTCTTTGCTATGGTAACAAGGTTGTCATTTCTGGAGAACTTGTTAAGCAAGGTCTCAGTCTCCATCAAAAGTTTTTTGAAAACACATTCAACAAAACACATACACAAAACTTTGTTTATTAAACATGTTTTTCTACACACGCCGTCTACTACTCACCTGGCTGTCGTACACAAAATACACAGGCCAGCGTTCTCAACCTATCCAGGTGCAACAACAACTTAAATCGTCAACCAAATGTCACTTTAAGTTGCGTTCAGAAACTCGATTTAAAACTTTCGTTTACATATAAATAAATAAATAATAATAAATATTTCCGACACTCACACCAATTTGCCTAGCCCCAAAGTAAGCACTATAAGGCTTGTGTTATGGGATGCTAGGGTAACGGATAGAATACATATACTGTACATATATAAGTATATTTATATAAATACATATTAAACATCCATGACTGGAGTACAAATGCACGTATTCATCACACAAACATCTGCCCCCACCGGGATTCGAACCCGGGACCTCTCGAGACGGCGACAGCCATGAAACCCGGCGTACAAACCACTCGGCCACGGAGGTCGTCTACATACTCTACATAAAGGATGCATGTTCATATGAGACCTAGTAATAGTACATGATTATTCATAACTACTCCGGCGGTAATGCAGAGATGAGCGGAATTGAAGAGCTAGATTCTGATTTTTTTTGTCTCACACAGTCTTAATAAATAAATATTATGAAAAATCGATTGCTTTTTCTCAATCTATGAAATAAAATTTATTAAAAAAAAAAACAGATTTGTTTTCTTACTTAGTAAATAAGTTTTATTCAATATTCTTCTTTTTATTGCCGACTCTACCTATTTGGTTTGAATTGATAGCTATAACGTCACAATATGGCGCCAGTCGGGTCCTATTTTTAGTTGAATCGCATTAAGACTAGTTATTTCTATGATACGTACTTGTTAGAGAACAATCCGACTTGGAATACGGACTTGGTCTGCGAGCGGCAAGAGAGCGCATTGAACATGTCGAACAGCACGAAGCAAGTGAATGTCATGGTTGTGTCTCGCGGTGTAATCTTGTTATCTGACATCTGAATAGAGAGAAACGTAAATTATAAATGTGAAAGTGTGTCAGTCTCTTAAGCTTAAACCGCTAAATCGATTTAGATGAAAAAAGATGAGTTCTAGGAAAGGACATAGGATGGTTTTAGTGATATGATACGGATGTATTCTTTCGAATCATAAATCTATGAACACAATCCCACATGTGGATTCCTGGAACTTCGGGAACATCTGTTTTTTTTATTTTAATTAAAAATCCATTCTGTTTTACTCAATTCATTTTTATTTAGTATCGATCAAATTTTTTATATCCTAGATTAAAGTTAGGTTAGAAAGGAGATTATGTTACTTATAAAACTACAAACAATAGGCATTCTGTTAAAAAAAAACGACCCAAAAAGAAGTTATACTTTTTAAAGTTGGCTCATAGTTGAACTTTAAAAATAAGAAAAAAAAATCTAACTCGAAAACTACGAAAAATCGTAGACCATACATGGGGGTTTAATTGATAGGTATGGTACTCCGCTATCAGCTCGCACTTTCTTGACATTCTAGAAGAAACATCCTGTATGTAAAGATGAGACTCACCTCCCTATTGAAGACCCACAATGTCCCAGCGATGATGATAGCAGCCGCTAGCAGTACATTAAGCAGTAAACCTCTTGATATTATTCGCCTAGTTGTGTCTCTAGGGCGACGTCTCACCACCTCGTGGTCCACGGGTTCTACTCCCAGAGACTGGGCCGGGGGTCCTGGGTAAAATAAAATAAGATCTTTCCAGCCCTATATTGATTTTAAATTACACACATACGCCGCCCGCGACTTCGGCCGCGTTAATTTAAGTTTGAGAATTCCACAGGAACCTGTAATTTTTCAGGAATAAAAAGTAACCTGTCTCAATCCAGATCTACTATATGCATATGAAATTTTCATCCAAATCCGTTCAGTAGTTTTTGCGTGATTAAGTTACAAATATACAAACTTTCACATTTATATATTATACATAAAATATTAGTAGAAAGTAGACTAACAGAGGTAGGGATGGCAGACGACAACAGTAAATTGAAAAAGAGAACCTTCAATATTATACGCGGGTCTACTTCGTGATCTACGGGTTCTACTCCCAGGGACAGGGATGGGGGGCCTCATTAAAAAAAAAATTTTTTGAGCAATATTTTTGCTCAAAAATATTCAATTCAAATATCAATATCTGTCGCGCTCATCTACAACTATGTTATAACTGGCCCCAATAAATAACTAATTACAAATGATGACGTAAGACATTAGCATTTTCGATTCGTTTCTCTATAGGCACGAGTTATAAGAATTCTCATATTTGACAGTGATAACTTCTAAAAGTGCATCTAACCCGTTGAAACTTGTTTTATTTTATGAGTGATGTGCGTGAAAACCTAAGAAACAAAAGAAGAACCTAAGAAGTAAAAGACATTACTTCTGTGTTAGTCATTACTTACACTGAAGTAATGTATTTTATAACACATTTGCTCGTAAAGCGTCTCTTATTGCACCAATTTCAATATTAAAAAAAGCGTTGATGCGCGCGCATCGCTAATCTGTGAAAAAGTTATTTCTTTTTCTTTTCGCTATATTGCTTTTATTTGAAAATATTGTCAAGTAGTAACGAATTTATTAATTTGACACCGCCAAAAGTCGAAAAAGGCTACACTAAGCCTCTTGCCTGAAAAATCCACGGATAGATACTTACAGTCAAGCGTATCAAAATTTCATCTTATGGAAAACAAACGAAGGTGCAAATTCATTTTCAGAAAGTACGTACGTAGGTTGTATTATTTCCTCGCAAATGTGTTATAAAACGTCGTATGACATACGTGCGGTTTGATAATTACAGCCACTGCCTTCTTATAGCCCTCACTACGGCTCGGGCTGACAATATCGCCTCGGCTGTAATTCTCAACTTACCGCACTTATATCTTAATGTACTATTACTTGTTGATAATTACGATGGTAAGGGTAGACAAGCCGAGAGTTATTATGATATCGCAGGCTTCTGAAGACTAAAATGTCCGATTAACATCAGACGAGATATATGTATGAGCAAAGAAAAGTAAGTTTTCTGTTCAAAGAAATCAAGTTAAATATCCAACCGTCCATAATGATGTTGATCCACAGTATCTGCATCGCATTCAGGGGGTTGGGCACCCCCATGAGCGTTGCGAGCGCGATAAGCGATAGGGCAGCGATCGACGTGGACAGCTGGAAGCGCACGAAGTTGCGGATGTTGTAGAATATGCATTTGCCTTCCTCTATCGCCGCACTGCGAATAATGGATGATGAAATGAATGAATGATTTATTTATTTTCTCTCACAAAGTAACATTATAATTAAGAAAAAGGGTATTGAATTACAATAACAGTAAAAACAATATAGAAATACATATTAAACATCCATGACTGGAGTACAAATGCTCGTATTCATCACACAAACATCTGGCCCCACCAGGATTCGAACCCGGAACCTCTCGAGTCGGTGACACCGTGAAACCCGGCGTACAAACCAATCGGCCACGGAGGTCGTCAAATTATATTAAGATTAGATTATATTAAGGTATAACTAGCTTGATTGCAATGAATGAAGAACTTGATTAGAAGAAACTTAGACCAAAAAAACGAATGTGTTTGCAATATTGTCATCTATTTAAATCTCAAGAAACACGAAACTGGAAAAAAAAACATTACTAGAAAACGAGTGTGCTTATGACCACACGACTGAAATGAAACTTCTTTAGCTCCATCTATATATATGTGTGTGTGTACTTGTAATGTAACGAATGTCATTTTTTGAACATTCGCGAATGCGAATGCGGATGCGAATATCTGGTGCCGACATTTAGTTACCGAATATTCAGTTTATGTTGAAGATTGGCGCCAATTGTCTATGGCATGGTGGCAGTCTCGTTCGAATTGCCGAGTTGATATGAACTCATCCGAAGAAGTGTCGTTCCGCTCGCGCCGGTCTTTTCGTAAACAAAACATGTTAGTTTGAATAGTGATTTAGTAACAGGAGTAAATCAAATTCTAGTGAAATATGGATTTATTTCACACTCTGCGATGCTGAACGAGCTAAATGAAAGCTGTGTAACAATGAATATTCAAGGAAAGGAAGAACTACAACTTCTTCAAATTCTTTTTCTCTAATATTCATATTCGCAAAACATTAGCTAGTAAATGAAATATGTATATATACATCATTGTATATATACATATTTCATTTACTAGCTATAAGAGAAAGAAAATGTGCGCGCGCACTTTCTCTTGCTTATATCCCCCACTCAACTCCCGCTCGAACACACTTTTCGTAACGCGTAACGCATTCGCCAGCTTACCCCCCAAGTCAAGCGTGCGTAAAGAAGTTTCACTTCAAAAATACAACTTGGCCAGAGTTTCCTGACCAACTGTTAATCAAAACAAAAGTAAGTTTCAGAGCGATGTGAAAACTTATCAGAAGCATAACTTTTGGTTTTGTAAATAACTTATGCAACAATATGAATAAAACTCACATAATAGTAGCGAAGTCGTCGTCCACAAGTATCATATCCGCGGCTTCCTTACAAACGTCGGTTCCATTGCGTCCCATAGCTATGCCGATATCCGCTCGTTTTAGAGCCACGCCGTCGTTTACACCGTCACCTAAAACAATAAATATTTACTGTATTACTTATATCTTTATTTATGTCGATACCGACATGATTCTCTAAACTTAAAACTAAATTTAATAATTAATAATTCTTTAAAGAAAATGACAAGGATAGACTGTTGTCAAATTTAAGTTTAGGTTTAGAGCATGGAGGTAGAGAAGGAGAACGATCGTTACGTGCTAAAGCATTAGCCCGCCTGTCCCTGAAAATTTGTACAATTTATAGTTAATTTTTCAGCCACCAGCCGCGCTGCCGGCGGTAAGTAGTAGCTGTGAAGTTAGCTGTTTATGAGTACAAGTAACTGAAGTTAGTTAAATAATGTACAAAATTTCTTCGCTACATTGGTCATTTCAAATTAGCGCACAACAGCCCGCTTTTATTGAGATAACTTAGCGAGCGCAGCACCTCACTTCTTTTGTCCTTATTTCTGGAACACTATTTTCTTCAGCGATCATTCTCCTTCTCTCTAACCTCCATGGTTTAGAGAATCATGCAGACCATTTTTAACATTAAACTGCTTAATATATAAATCTACAGGTCCAGTTATCAGTTGGGATAAATCATCATTATCGGCCTATTAATGTCTTCACCGCGGGGGCACAGGCCTTCATTATGGACGCAATAGGAAGACTGGGCTGTGACCCCACCACGCGGGCCCAGTGCGAATTGGTGGGTGCTAACGACTGTAGATGCAGCCGGGACCAACGGCTTATCGTGCCTTCCGAAGCACGGAGGAGTGAGAGTTGATTAATTTAAAAGATGGCAAACCGAACGCGCCAATCACCTACGCTGGTCAAGTAATTATATATTATATAGTGTATTTTTGTAGATAAATATGTATTTAAAATAGACTTGCAACGAATAGTATATTCGGCAGTATACCGAATACCGAATATTCGGCGAGGCCCCTGACCGAATAGCCGAATATTAGGCAAAAGTATTCGGCAGGATTTTAGCGCCAAAAACTTGTATAGACGTGATTGTTTCGCGCTCCTTTGTTTTGTTCTAATCTGCCGTCCTCAAGCTAAAATGCGACTAAATGACAAAACCAACTTTTGAGATATGGCGCGTAAACTTTAAATTATTGCTATTGTCACAAACGCTCTCGAAACGTAACCGCGAAAGTGCCAGAGATCGAATTTGCCAGATCACCGCGGGTCGCGATAGAGGTCGAGTAATGCGGCTCATTCTAAAATGAGCCTTATGCAGTGGGGCGTAAGGGTGAAAGTGCCACGACATCTACACTTGTTTACAAGTTGGGCGCGTTACCTGCGTAGGTATAGGTAGGTATTTCGTACTCACGGATGCTAGGTAATTCTCAATTTAACAGGTACTTTCTAGAATGGCGCCGCGCTGTTGAAACCCGAGCAGTTGACAGTTGAGTTTCAAACAGCAATTTCGGAGCGAATCCAAAGGCAATCAAATTGCAACAAGAGTGTTCAAGTGCGATTGTTTAGAGACTCGTATAGTGAAATACAGTGTTTTTTTTTAATATATATATAGTTAGGTCCGACAAATGACTCCACCCCACCTGATGTTAAGTGAAGGTGAAGTCCAGACGCGAAGATAGCTGATACAGCAGTTCTACCTGCCACACCAGCCATCCTCACCCTGCCGGCCTGCATGTTGCTTCTTCACGCCTCTTTTAAAGGATCCCAGGTTGTAAGAGGGAGGGAACACGTGAGCGGGCAGAGCATTCCATTTACGGATAGTGCGACAAAGAAATGAGTCACCAAATTTCTTTGTACGCGTTGGAATTGTGGCCACAGTAAGACGGTGACAACGTAGGCCAGCGCGCGTGGTCCTCTGAAGGAAAGGGGAAGGTGGGATAAGAGAGAATAACTCCTCAGAACACTCGCCGTGGTACAAACGATAGAACGCGCTTAGTGACGCCACGTCACGGCGTAATTGAAGAGGCTCAAGGTGTTTAGTCACCTCCTCATCGCCTATGATGCGGATCGCGCGCCGCTGTAACCTATCCAAAGCATCGAGCAAGTACTTGGCGGAGCCATCCCAGAGGTGCGAGCAATATTCCACGCAGGACCGCACTTGCGTTTTCTACAACAAGCACAGTTGATCGGGCGTGAAAAAACGCCGCACCTTGTTCAGGACTCCGAGTTTGCGTGAAGCTGTTTTGATCACGGTTTCGATGTAGTCCTTTGGATTCAGGTCTGAGCGAACTTCCATACCGAGCATGGAAATGTTGCTCTGCAGCGGTAGTGTTGTGCCCTGAAGAGATGGAAGGGGAAGGAATGGCGATGTTTTTGCCGTGAAAGCGCAAGCCTGAGTTTTCTTGGCATTGAACCCAACCAAGTTCCTGGTACCCCATTCGGAAATGTGGTCCAAAGCCTGATTGAGTTCAATGACAAGATTTTCCCGTTTCTCCCTGGTTACTGCCTGCCCAGCCGCTGCTTGTCCGAGATACCCCGCATGCACTGTACTATCGTCTGCATAGCAATGAATATTCCCAAGAGGAATCAAGTCATTGATATGCAGCAGAAAGAGAGTGGGGGATAGGACGGAGCCCTGGGGAACGCCGGCATTCACTGACATGAACAGCGAACAGCTACCATCCGTAAGGACACGAATTCTACGCTCATGCAGGAAATCAGCTACCCAAGAACAGAACTGGGCTGGCAGACCGTATGCCGGAAGCTTGGAGAGAAGGCTTTAATGAGTGTACTGTGATTAACATTGTGTGTTAATTGTGTGGTCATTAAAGTACTGTCAAGCGTGAACTGGCATATAAATTCGAACCCCATCCCGACACGTAACACTATTATATAACCATTCATCACATGACTGAATGAATTAAAACCTGTTAACTTGTTTAATACAGAAAATGATTAAATTATGTAATGTATAAAATAAATGATAACCTTACCTTCTATTTGATTACCACAATAATTCAAATACATAGAATCCTCCATTTTTCCAATTCAGAAGATGATATGACGCGATAGTACATAACACAGGTACATAACCTGTGTTATGTACTATCGCGGAATTTTGCGCTCTGTCACTTGGCGAACAAAATGCTTTGAACGGTTTTCTACAGTAGTTTTTACTACGCCCCGCCTTCGCGTAGGCGCGCCAATCCGGACCGCCGCGCAAAAGTAAGACAGAGAGCATTTCATTGATTGAATAAATGAATTGAATTGCATTTGTTTTAGTTGCAATTTGTCATCCGCATCGTGATCACGACAGCGCTATACGAAAAAGTAAAACAGCGATAATTACATGTCTATGAATGAATTTTTACTACGCCGCTACCGCAAGCGATTATGGAACTATGGGTGACAGAGCGGGTCTTTCCGCGAGTGTACCAAAGACTACTTAAATGATTATATAACAGAAATGAAAATATGAATATATAGGTAATCAATCGATTTTCAATTTTCATTTTACCAATTATTTCTCTATGACAAAATATATTATTTAAGTATTCGGTACTCGGCCGAATAATATGTAGATATTCGGTATTCGGCCGAATATAATAAAAGCAGCCGAATAGTAACCGAATATTCGTTGCAAGTCTAATTTAAAAACAATGTGAGCCTTTACGGGACGCCTGGCAGATGTGAAATACTAGCCGGTTTACGACAAATACACTCGGAGAATCGCTCAGGATACGTGCGGTAAAAAATTACATAGGTCCTGCCTCGAAGAGCGCTGGCGCCATACTGATCGTCAAGTAGTTAAGCACTGGTATATATTGCATTTTACGGGCGAGTGTTGCCACGCCAGAAATCGGTTTTTCGTGCGCCAAAAGATGTTTCAATCAAAAGGGATATTCAACGTTAACTAAATCATTTACTTCCCGTTGTTTAAACATAACAATCCAATCTATACTGTCTGGAAGAAATTACTTTTAGCATTAAAAAAACTCACCTGTCATGCCGACTATGTTTCCGAGCCTTTGTAATGACTTCACTATAGTTAGCTTATGCTTCGGCGTCACTCTGTAGAAAACGCTTACCTATGGAGAATAGTTTCAAGAATTAGTTAAAATTATTTAATACAATTATCCTCCACTTTAGATATAGTAGCAGCGAAATAACAATTCCCTGTATTAATTCGTTAATTATAATTTTCAATCCGTTAGCTTAGTGGCGCGATTACATCAGGTCGTTAGCCCGAATACGAGTGCCAATGGAATTCGGGTTAGCGACTAAATGTAAATAAACGGGGTCAAGTACTCCCGTATTCGGATAGATATCCTTATGTTTACCCGACACCGTCTTCCAACCCGTATTCCAGTCTAAATATTGCTGCGGGTGCCCGAATTCGAGTAATATCTTTCGTACACCGGAACACGGGCTCACGACCAAATGAAATTACGGCATAATGATTGTACCACAAAGTTGAACAAGGCTAATATAAATTGTACTTTATTTGCGTAAGTTGAGATTCATATTTGACGACCTCCGTGGCCGTGCAGTGGTTTATACGCCAGGTATCATGGTGTCGCCGATTCGAGAGTTCCCGGGTTCAAATCATGTATGCTATCCGTTACCATAGTATCCCATAACACAAGCCTTATAGTGCTTACATTGGGGTTAAGCTTATTGGTGTGGATCTCAAAATAGTTTATAAACAAATCTTACAGTATCAATGATTCTGTCGAGTTCGTCTTCGCCCATAGAGTCTAGTTGATCGCCACTCAGTGATTGCGAATGTAGAACATCCAGGCCGACCATTTGAGCTGCAATAAAAAGTTTATTTAGTGAACATGTAAGCCTTTAGAAACACCACTTTAAGAATGTTTACTTTATAGAGAAAATTTGTGCCTCAGCTATGTCGACATCATTACACTTTGCCATTGTGAGTTGACCAACTTCTATATGATGCGTCATGACATGAGCGTAATTAAAACTCTGGCGCCCAGGTCCTCTTCAGATTTGCAAATTTCTTATTTTATAAATCAAACTATAGGTCGGTAACTAATGCCTTTATATTGCTTCCTCCACTCCTGGCCATGACCCTTTTTGCCCTAGTGTACACTGACCTTACAATGGATCATCAGAACTGACACTTATCATGAGTATACCTACGGGTCACAGCTATTAGAATAAATATCAGTATAATATATTTTATATAATATATATTTGCGACAGACCACCAGATACACACTCAAAAAAAGCAGTGGACAGTTGAGTTTCAACAATGATTTCGGAATGAATTCAAAGGCGATCAAAGTGCAAGTGTTTAAGTGCGATTGTTTATAGTGTACAGTGCAGTATTGTGTTTAAGAAAGAACTGTGTGGTGAATAAAGAACTGCCAAGCGTGAACTGGCATTTAATTTCGACACAGTTATAGCTACGTCCAACCAACGTCAGCGCCGACTGAAGTCGAGAACTATGTGGGCTTGGCGAAGCGGACGGTGGCGCGGGGCAGCTTGCACGCGCCTTCAGCCAAGGCCCGCTGCCATGGCGATGATACGCACCGACGCTAAGGGCGGCAGGCTTGGCATCGAGACCGCATCGCGGATGGTGGCGTGGGGTGTGCACGCCCCTGCAGCCGAAGCCCGTCAACATGACGATGATACGCACCGACGCTGAAGGCGGCGGGCTTTGCGTCGCTGATGGTGACGCGGGGCGGGTCGCACACGCCTGCAGTCGAAGCCCGTCACCATGGCGATGATACGCACCGACGCTGAAGGCGGCGAGCTTGGCGTCGCTGATGGTGACGCGGGGCGGGTCGCACGCGCCTACAGTCGAGGCGCGTCACCATGGCGATGATACGCACCGACGCTGAAGGCGGCGAGCTTGGCGACGCTGAAGGTGGCGGGCTTGGCGTCGCTGATGGTGACGCGGGGCGGGTCGCACGCGCCTGCAGTCGAGGCCCGTCACCATGGCGATGATACGCACCGACGGTGAAGGCGGCGAGCTTGGCGTCGCTGATGGTGACGCGGGGGGGTCGCACACGCCTTCACCCGAGGCCTGTTGCCATGGTGATGATACGCACCGACGCTGAGGGCGGTTGGCTTGGCGTCGCTGATGGTGACGCGGGGCGGGTCGCACGCGCCTGCAGTCGAGGCCCGTCACCATGGCGATGATACGCACCGACGGTGAAGGCGGCGAGCTTGGCGTCGCTGATGGTGACGCGGGGGGGGTCGCACACGCCTTCACCCGAGGCCTGTTGCCATGGTGATGATACGCACCGACGCTGAGGGCGGTTGGCTTGGCGTCGCTGATGGTGACGCGGGGCGGGTCGCACGCGCCTGCAGTCGAGGCCCGTCACCATGGCGATGATACGCACCGACGGTGAAGGCGGCGAGCTTGGCGTCGCTGATGGTGACGCGGGGGGGTCGCACACGCCTTCACCCGAGGCCTGTTGCCATGGTGATGATACGCACCGACGCTGAGGGCGGTTGGCTTGGCGTCGCTGATGGTGACGCGGGGCGGGTCGCACGCGCCTGCAGTCGAGGCCCGTCACCATGGCGATGATACGCACCGACGGTGAAGGCGGCGAGCTTGGCGTCGCTGATGGTGACGCGGGGGGGTCGCACACGCCTTCACCCGAGGCCTGTTGCCATGGTGATGATACGCACCGACGCTGAGGGCGGTTGGCTTGGCGTCGCTGATGGTGACGCGGGGCGGGTCGCACGCGCCTGCAGTCGAGGCCCGTCACCATGGCGATGATACGCACCGACGGTGAAGGCGGCGAGCTTGGCGTCGCTGATGGTGACGCGGGGGGGTCGCACACGCCTTCACCCGAGGCCTGTTGCCATGGTGATGATACGCACCGACGCTGAGGGCGGTTGGCTTGGCGTCGCTGATGGTGACGCGGGGCGGGTCGCACGCGCCTGCAGTCGAGGCCCGTCACCATGGCGATGATACGCACCGACGCTGAAGGCGGCAGGCTTGGCGTCGCTGATGGTGACGCGGGGCGGGTCACACGCGCCTGCACCCGAGGCCCGTTGCCATGGCGATGATACGCACCGACGCTGAGGGCGGTGGGCTTGGCGTCGCCGGTGAGCATCTTGACGTGTACGCCTCCGCGGCGCAGCGTGTGGACCGCGTCGCGGACGGTGGCGCGGGGCGGGTCGCATACACCGCACGCGCCCGTGTAGCTCAACGATTGAAGGCTGTCGCCGCGACACATGGCTACGATGCGGAGACCTGGCGACAAAGATCATCAGTGTTAGCCGGTGTACTTGAAAGTTCATTTGCGACGGTATCCACCGATATAGGTGATTCAAAATAATAACTCGCCAACAATAAGCTTGATAATTTTTTGATTTTATAGTGTTAATATAAAACCCTATAATAGGGGTTTCCTTTATTATAACAGTAAGTAGGCATTTCAAAGCATATAGTGCCGTGATTGTATTTCAATAAGAAGTCATTATAAAATAGTAAACTGCTTTAGGACTTCTGCTAGACTGACAATGAATTATTTTATGACAGCCTTGACAGGATTCGTTAATGGTATTTATTTAGTTCAAATTCAATTGACAGGATTGAATTTAAACTAAATAAATACCATTAACGAACATTTTGCAAATAAGTGTTGGTCAAGAAGATCGAATATGGAGGAAATCAACGAGGAGAACGCTTGCGGTTATGCCACAAGGTAAAACATAGCGCCAGGGTATTCCGCTCAATTTAAGCGCCCATCCTTGGGAAGTTACCTTTACAGAATACCGCAGTAAATAACATTATTTTCCTGTCAGTAGGTATGGTTTTGTGCTTCACAGGATAGAGTAGGCAACGACTAACAGGCTGAAAAGTTTATTCCTAGCACTTGAAATTTCTATCATACAAACATTATAGAGGAGCCCCATGAGACAAGTAGTCACCGCTTTTGGCTGCGATCTAGGCAGTTAAGTAACTTTCGCAGTGATCGGTCATTGGATGGATGAATAAAAACTTAATATCTCGAGCTAATGGACTAAATGGACGTAACAGCCGTTGGACCCGGCTGTTACGTCCATTGATTACGTCAACTGTCATATGAAATATTTATACTGTTGTCTGTGTAAGTCCGTCATTCGCCGTTCCTTGTTAAGTAGACGGACGATAAGTTTTTCAGTGGTTTTAAAGAAAAAAACACAATGCCTGGGTAAGTTAAATACATTTAGTTACTCTATTTTGATGTTTCGTTTGCGGGTTTCCGTGAATTTTTTTTTTAGTATTATTTTGCTCACAGTACCTCGTAAGAGAACCAACAAAAAAAATGTTTGTGACTTAGGGTGAGGCCAAACGAGCGTAATTTTGTGAGTGGTGAGTCGCAGAATTTCGGTCGCAGAAATTCTGCTGCATTCGGTTTCATACAAAAAGGCAGTTGGTGCCACACGACAACGCAAAATGAGTTGTCTGCCGACTCAATGCGCATAAGCTCGTCCGAATTTCGGTCGGGGTGAGAGTAGGGCAAGGAAGGGGAGAGGGGAAGCAACAGTTTGTTACAAGTTGTGTGGTGTAATAATTCTTGAAAAACACGTAATGGCATATGATAGTACTTTTCAAACATATCTGGATTTGCACATAAACGTTCATATAAAGTATGGAACTGTCCACATATCAGCCTCTGACTATTCAGTGGGTTTACCCAGTTTCTTTTTCTGGCCTCATCTTCTGAATATGCTTCGTAAATACAATATTTTTAATGCATCCATTGCACTCGACGACACGAACACCCCGTACTATCGCTCAATAGTAACTGAATACATTACGTTCGTATGGCAGCTCAACAGAAATTCAGTTGAACGTAAAATAAGTGACCGATAATAAGCGACTCACAACTCACAAAATTACGCTCGTTTGGCTTCACCCTTATGTTTTCATTGGGATCACACATCAATAAAAATATTAAATTAAACTTACCCATTCGACCGATATTGTAAGCTTCGCTTATAAAATCAGCCTGCTTTTCCTTGGTCATCGGCGCGTAGTTGCCAGAACTGTCTATGTACGTGGTGCAGAGTGGTAGAACTTTCTCTATGGCCCCTTTGACGAAGACTTCTTCCTTTAGTTTTCCGTCGCCGAATTTGGGCACGCATTTCACCACCATCATCTTGGTCTCTGAACTGTGATTGTAAGGAACTGTTAATAGTCATGTTTGTCGACAATGGATATACGATGAAATATATCTTATTAAAGCTATACAAACGCGTAGGTAACGCGTGTGTGTAGCGAAACAGACGCGATGCTAACATGCGTGTGTAGCAACGATATTAAATACCACGTGCACTCAAAATGTGTCCCAATCAAGAAGTGCTTGAACACCACTCTAGCACTTCTTGGTTCACAGGCCCGCGCGGACCGTTGAAAAGTCAAGATGCCGCAGAGCTGCGTGAAAAAATACGAAAGCAAGACTTATAGTGCGTGTGTCGTTTTTTCGACAGGTATTAAATCAATGACGACCTCCGTGGCCGAGTGGTTTGTACGCCGGGTTTCATGGTGTCGCCGACTCGAGAGGTCCCGGGTTCAAATCCCGGTGGGGGCAGATGTTTGTGTGATGAATACGAGCATTTGTACTCCAGTCATGGATGTTTAATATGTATTTCTATAAAAAAAAAATTACTTATGTATGTACCGTATATGTATTCTATCCGTTACCCTAGCATCCCATAACACAAGCCTTATAGTGCTTACTTTGGGGCTAGGCTAATTGGTGTGAGTGTTGGAAATATTTATATTTATTTATTTTAATGTTTGTTATTTTAACGCACCTGAAGCATTTTTTTCTAATACTAACCATAAACTGATTTAATAGAGAACATTTGTGATATTCAAATGCTGGTAATACAGCCGTCTCTTTTCCTCGCAGACCGTAACTGCTATTTTACTAACAGCGCATTCAGAATTGCGCGTAAAGTCAATAATATAAGGTCTATATTCTTCACGGGAAGTACCCTGTAGGTTTTGATTCCCGCGCGAATTTCTAAAATTTGCGGAAATTTGCAGTATAAACGGCTGTATCTTTTGATTGTCAAACTTCATTCGTCTCTCTCTCTTCTTCGTTGGGACAGTAGACCTGAGTATTAGATATAAATTTAAGTTTGATAACTCCACGCGATTCTGAGAAAAACTGTCTTGACAGACGGACGGACGGGCGGACAACAAAGTGATCCTATAAGGGTTCAATTTTTTTCCTTTTGAAGTACGGAACCCTAAAAACGTGGTTTTCAATAACACAGATGCGCCGGCGTCGCACTTTTGAACCGATGCTAACGCGCGTGTTTTTATCGATACAAACGAAAACAAACTGCTGCTTTCTAAAATGCGCGTCGACAGCGCGTTTAAAATACGTGGTGTGCATAGGCCCAAAAAGAAAGAGATAGATTGGTGTGCGTCAAAACATCAAAAAATTTATAATCTTTATATGTTCAAGAAAATATGTATAATTCCTTGTTTTATCTTGCGGGCATACTACAACTTCCTCTTCGTTTAACTATCCTTTACCGCAAAGGTTGTCTGGAAGAGATCACTTGAAGTGATAAGGCCGCTTTGGCCCACATTATGTTATTGTTAACTTTTTTTTTGTATTCTTTTGTGTGTGTGCAACAAAGAATTTATCTGACTATCTAAAACTATACCTGAACGGTATCTCGTGCAGCCTCGTGTGGACGTCTCTGATATCCTCGAGGCCGTATTTGAGCGCGCACGCGAGTAAAGCGCCTTCAGTGGGCTGCCCGTACAAAGTGTCGTCGCGGATGTACGCGTTGTTGCATAGAACACCGACCTAGGATATGATAATATTGAATAAATAGTTTGGTAGTATAAGCATAAAGGTATAAGAATAGAGTGGAGAAGGCGGCTCTAAAAGTGACAGTCTAGTAGAAAGAGAAAGAAGATGAGAGACCGCTAGCTATCTCTCTCTCTCTCTCTCTTGTGACGCATGCGCGGTCGTCTGTCGTCAATAGTTGGTCCAAGCATCACACCGAAATAGTAAGATGCTTACGGTTGCCAATGCGCATGAGCGATTAGAGAGAGAAAGCTAGCGGTCACTCATCTTCTTTCTCTTTCTATTAGAGGGACACTTCCACTTGTATTAGAATCTTATATCTCCCCTAATCTATTCTTATACCTCTATGAGTATAACCGGATGTCTGCCTAGACGACATTACTAGGAAACCTTACTTAAAAAAATCAAGATCCGTCTAGGCTTTTACAAGCACTTGTTAATGTCGAGAAGCTACGCCATCGGTTTGCAAGTCTAAGGTGCAAGACTTTATACGGAGAAGAACCGGGAAGAAACAGCGAGGGTTGATATTTTCTCGTTGTATATTTATATCGTGGCGTACAAGCATATGGCCCGCCTGACGGTAAGCGGCCACCATAGCCTACTGACGCTTTCCTGATGATGACCCATAGAACTCCCTGTAAAACTAACCTCCAGCATACTCTGCATACCCATCCTGGCGACGTCTAAGTCGCGTCCCTTGTTCGCCTTAAATTGTACGTGGTCTCTAGAATTGTGACCGGTGCCCGTTTCCTGATGATGATGATAATCCATAGAAGTCCCTATTAAACTAACCACCAGCATACACTGCACACCCATCCTGGCGACGTCCGAGTCGCGACCCTTGTACGCCTTCAATTGTACGTCGCCTCTAGAATTGTACCCGGTGCCAGTTTCCTAATGATGACGATGATGACCCATAGAACTCCCTATAAAACTTACCTCCAGCATACTCTGCACACCCATCCTGGCGACGTCCAAGTCGCGTCTCTTGTACGCCCTCAATTGTACGTCGCCTCTAGAATTGTACCTGGTGCCAGCTTCCTAATAATGCTGATGATGATGATGACCTATAGAACTCCCTATAAAACTCACCTCCAGCATACTCTGCACACCCATCCTGGCGACGTCCAAGTCGCGTCCCTTGTACGCCCTCAATTGTACGTCGCCTCTAGAATTGTACCCGGTGCCGGTGACTTCGGCTATATGACCGCCCGACGTGGATATCGTGGTCACTGTCATCTCGTTCTTGGTTAATGTACCTATGTACAGTGAGAAATACGTTACAATACAATAGAAAACCTAACACTTTATTGATAAACCACAGAAAACATTAAATATAGTACAAAACCAATTAAAACTAGTGTAACAATGGGTGGTGATCGATCGATCTCTTCCAGACAACTTTTGGTTGGAACGGACTAAAAGAAAGTGGGGGATACGGGCGGCGCAAATAACTTGAGTGATATAGATATTAATATGAACTTTCATATACATAAAAATACAGAGGAGCTCGTTATTAGCGAGCTCGCAAGTGGTTAGCGCGTTCGGTGGTCAGTCATGGGATGAGTGACCAAAAATTTACTATCTCGAGCTCCTCCGTTCTTCGGAAGGCACGTGAAGCAGTTAGTACCGGCTGCATCTGCGGTCGTTAGCACCCACCAACCCGCACTGGGCCCGCGCGCTGGGTAATGGCCCAATTCCATCCATAGGGAAGGCCTGTGCCTCAGCAGTTGGGACATTAATAGGTTGATGATAACATCAAAGGAATTATGATAGAAGGTCCACTCACCAGTCTTATCGCTGCATATGACGTTGACGCATCCCAGCGTCTCAACGGTGGGCAATTTCTTCACTATAGCATTCCTCTTCGCCATACGCATCACGCCCAAAGCTAATGTCACCGTCACCACTATCGGTAGACCTGCGAGTTAAAAAGTAAATAAGTTAGTGAACTTATAAGAATATCATCAGTGAATACATTATGTTTATATTATAAGCAACCTAAAGATAATTTTCCCAGAAAAATTCCTAACTACCGAGTGAAAGTTTTCACGAAATCAGTAAATATGTTAAAACCACAGAACACAGAGAGGTTAGAAGGGTGATCATACACCATTTATACGGGAGCCGATGTCGCCGCCCAGCCCCCACTACACTTCCACCTAGTAGATAACAGTCAATCAAACGACGCGACATCAAACAATCGAACCAATCAGCGCTCACACCGAAGAGCAATGACGCAATCAGCTATGAGCATTTGCTCACATATTGCTGTGGCGCGCCTGCCCCACTCACAAGGCTCTTCTAACCTCATTCTGTGTTCCGTGTTTAAAACTTCACCAACCTTCAGGTATAGCAGCGACGGCCAAACTGACTCCAATTGTGAACATATCCTGGACAGCCTTCCCTTGCAGCCATCCAGCGACCATAATGAATCCGATGATGCAGAAGCTGTACATAGACAACTGCGTGCCTAGAGTGTCCATAGACTTCTGGAGCGGGGTCTTCGGCGCCTCCTCCGCTTGCATCATGCGGAAAATGTCGCCGAATTCGGACCGCTCCCCGGTGCTTACTACTATGCCCTGTTGAAGATATTGTTTGAATGTAGTTTACAATTAAGGAAAGTCAGGAAGCTTTCAAAATATGAGTTCTAAGTTCTTAAATTAGGGTCTAACTTTCAACTCCTTAATATAGGGTCTCTAAAAAACTCCTTAATTTAGGAGTGTGTCGTAGTAGTCTTAATTCCGAATGTGAATTTTTAATACAGAAAACTAAGTTCTTGCGTTGTCTCCGAAATAATTCAAGCTGTACATAGACAACTGCGCGCCTAGAGTGTCCAAAGATTTCTGGAGTGGGGTCCTGTGAGCCTCTTCCCCTTGCATCATGCGGAATATGTCACCTAATTCGGACCGCTGCTCCCCGGTGCTTACTACTACGCCCTGTTGAAGATATTCTTTGAATGGTTAAGGTAGTCTACGATTGAAAGGTCAGAGAGTTTTCAGAAAATTTGATCACTGAATGGGAAACTAAAATTCATTTGTTTGTGGTCATTCATCAGCTTAAGTCTTCAGCAGTACGGAAGGTTCATCACGTGAGATAGCGCAAGAAATTTAGCATATTATTAAACAAGGCGATAAAAATGCAAATTCAAGAGACTTTAAACTAAAAATAACCGGCGATAAGCTAAGCAAGAACTGATTTTTTTTTTGAAGTGAAAACTTCTTTAGCGGCGATGTACACTTTTTTTGTATGGGTAAAAGATGTTAAACTCGCGTCAGGTTAAACACGTGGGCGTTCAAGACCCATCTAAGATCAAAATGAAAAATCTCAAAAAATTACGATGGCCAAAATAACTTGGAAATGACATCTATAATGGTCTCCATCTAATAATGTAATTTGTCGGTTTATTGTAAAGATTCAAGATAAAGGCTGTCTACTTAGTAAAAAACGTGGTTGAGAGCTAACATTGTTAGGAGCGATTAATAGATTTAGCTCTTCTAAACAATAACCCGGAAATAGTACCAGACGTCTCAAATATTATCACCCGATTCGCAAATACAAAAACACGACTTCCATTTTCTTTTACAAGTAATGTATAAAATAAAAAATTGTCTTGTGCAATAATGTTTATTTTATTCCAGATATCTATTTTTAGGGTTCCGTACCTCAAAAGGAAAAAAAACGGAACCCTTATAGGATCACTTTGTTGTCCGTCCGTCCGTCTGTCAAGACCGTTTTTCTCAGGGACGCGTGGAGGTACCAAACTGTAATTCTTTTCTAATACTCAGGTCTACCCTTGAAGCTGTGAAAAAATCAGACTTTTAAGCCAAAGCAATCAAAAGCCGCTAATTTCCGCAAATTTTCGAAAATCGCACGGGAATCATAACCCACAGGATACTTCCCGTGAACTTAGAATCTTGATATTTGGTACAAAGTAACGTCTAATAGTACAGATAAAGGAATGATATTTGCGAAAACCGCAAATTTTTAGTTACATCATATAATAAAAAATGTTTTTGAAAATTCAGGTGTGTACGGAACCCTCGGTGCGCGAGTCCGCCTCGCACTTGGCCGGCTTTTTTTTTATTAGTGTAGCGCCTGGTTGGTCCCGGCTGCAACTGCAGTTGTTAGCACCCACCAATCAGCACTGGGCCAGCGCGGTGGATCATGGCCCAATCTCCCTATTGCATCCATAGGAAAGGCCTGTGCCCCAGTAGCCGGAACATTAATAGGTTGATGATGATGTTTACGAAGAACCGGAGGCCTACTCAAATTCAACGAAAAACGAAATTTCGATCGAAATTTCGCACTTTTCTTACAATGTTTTTGGCTCATTTTTAATTATAATAATATTCGTCGTCAGAATATAGATTAAGGTGTAGATTTTATAAGCCTACTCAAAGAAAGCTTGAATGTGATAGTTTATTGTTCAAATTGAGTATAACCTTAAATTGCCGAAATTAAATTTCGTTTGAACTTCGTTATCGAAAGTTTGTTTCGTAGAGAGTAGGGGGGGGGGGGGGGAGCAGGGGGTCCCTGTTGCTAAGAAACGAAACCAGATTAGCCTTACATTTTACTAAAGGTATTTATTGAAACTGGTCGTAAATCTTACTTTCGCATTGCCGCTAGCAATGGCAATCTAGCTAGAGTGCCCATGAACTCGACATAGTGCTTGTTAACTCTCCCAGCGGTCGCCTTGTTTAGCAGCATGCTCTTCACGGCCGGCTCCGTCTAGCCAGTGAACAACGACTGGTCAAAACTTACCTTTGTTTAGATGTAGTGGCATATTTAGCCTAGACCCAAGAGGTCCATAATCGGGCACGACAGGCCATAATTTGATTTGGTTTACTAATTTTAGGGGGGGGTAGCAAAAATCGGAAATAACCTGGGGGCGCCAGGTTTCAAACTACGCCCTTGTTTAGATGCGCTCCGCTTAAAACTCAATTGACTAACCTAAATCTATTCTGACGAGGCCAGCGTGGTTCGTGGTCAATTCTCTTAAACTTGTTGCATCTGTGAGGATGATAAGAAGAAGGACATTGTTTAAATGAGGATTAATATCACTTTCTCATACCTTCGCATATCCAGTGGTCCATACTCTTAAATGTTGTTATGTCTATGAGGACGACCTAGGCTCCAAGGACATTATTTTGAAGAACATTGTTTAAATGAGATCGCCACCCCTTACCTTCGCGTTGCCGCATCTGACTAGCGTGCCCATGAACGCGACATTGTCCTTGTTAACTCTCCCAGCGGTCGCTTTGTTCGGCAGCACGCTCTTCACGGCCGGCTCCGTCTCGCCAGTGAACGACGACTCGTCGATGGCCAGGTCGACCGAGTCGTACAGTCGCAAATCTGCGGGCACCCTGTCCCCCACGTTCAGGTGGACTATGTCCCCTGGTACGAGGTTACGGGCGAGAAAGTGCTCTAGACTGCCTTCGCGTAAACTGCAAACGCGAGAAATACGGGATAAGTAGATAAGTTTTTAGAGAATTACGAGGTTCCGAGCGAAAAAGTACTCTTGACTGCCTTCGCGTAAAATGCAAACGCAAGTGAGACGAAATTGAAGTTTAATTTTCTTGCAAAAAATTCTTAAATCAAAAAAGCTTATCAAGTTTATCTCTATTTGACTTTAAACAATTTACAAAGATGGAATGCTGTCTTAAACAGGATAAAGCCTTAATTGGAATTAACAGTCCATTCTCACATACGGTACTACTTGATAGTTTTACTCCAAAGCGAGTAAAAATGAACGTGTGGACCGTAAAAATGAGAACTCGAGGCTCGTACGCATGACGCGACGCGTTAATTTTTACTTTCGAGTAAAACTAACAAGCAATAACTTATGTGAGTACGAACCATAAGAATGTTGGTGCAGGTGGCTTTAAGAACTAAACAGTAGAATTCCATTTACCAGTTGCATGACGGCGGCACCAGTTTATTCAACTCCTCGAGCGACTTCTCCGACCGGTACTCCTGCACGAAAGCCACAGTCACCACAATGATGATGGCGACCGTTATGGAGATGGCGTCGTCGAACTGTCTCATGCATACGCTCACTACAGCCGAGCCTGAGAACAAAATATCATCATCAGCCTATTGTATACTCCCTTTTTTTTAAATAATGCAGGTAAAAAATCTTTTTACAGACGACGGCGCCTTTAAGAGGCACATCGCCGAACGGACCTAACACCTGGCTCCCGCAAGTCTTACGGACCCCCCAGTGGCTGACCACCGAGGACCCCGCAACTCTTACGGGCGCTTTACAGCATAATATCCGCTAAAAAAGTCCTGCGAATACCTTCTACACTGCTTAATGCGAAGCCGCGGGGTCCCCGTAAGGGATTCTACCACGGTATTGTATACCCCCTAGTACGGGCACAGGTCTCGCATTTGGATGAAATTTGGGGCCCGTTGCAGGCCTTTTTGGGAGTCAGGTTGGCTTCCTTCAGACGTGTTCTTACTGTGCGTGGGTACATCACATCACAAGTGCGGGGAGTCCAATCTGGCGTGAGCCACTGTGGATGCTTCGGGTTCGCATCCCGTTAACAAACGGGAACGGAACGTCGTGTGGGTCGAAATAACCCCCTCTCCGCTTCTTCACACGTCGCCCTCGGCGCGGTCAAGCCCACCGGGTGAGACCCATAGGGGAGGCCCAGTGAGCGACCAGCGAGCGGGCGACGGACTTTAGCGGGCGGGGGTGGTGTCTTCGATGGGGGTACATGGCGAACTTTTCTTCTCGGCCTGTCCGAACTTTTTGACAAAATCCGCGAGCAGGTCCGAGAGCTGGAATAGGAGGCGCGTGGTCTCGGCTGGCGTGGGCGTAGGTGGCGTGGGCGGCGGTGTGAAAATGGTAAGGGTTGAAGGGTCACGGTGGTTTTTATAGGGGTAGAGGGTAGCGCAACTCGCAGGTAGCGTAGTGAGTAATTTGTCCCATACGCCCTAACTGCGCAAATGAACATTTTGGTACTTGTTTTATTTAATGGTGTTGATGTTTTTTTAAATCTTAGGTTTCAAGCTTTCAAATGACATATTATTTTTATTTAAATGTTGTATTCCTTTACTTATAACAATGTTTGAATGCAGAGGTAGCGCTTGGCTCGATTTGGTTGCTCGCGAGTGTAGAATGACAGGTGGCAACGACATCAATAAAATCACGAAACCAAGTGCATTAAAACTTTCTTGTAAACTGTCCCCGTACAATTATTCGCCTGAGCGATATAACGATAAGACAGTTTACGTTACAACAATGTATAATTAATACTTGTACTACTAATTAAAGCTTTAAATGCTAGAATTAACCATTATTAACTTCAATTATTTATGATGCGCACGGACAGCAACGTTTTTATATATTATTTATAATAAAATAATAATTGGCGTTCGTGTTTTATATGATATTCCAACAACACAACCCATACCACCTACCGCTTCAACACCGCAGCTGTAATAAACCGCTTTTACAAATAACGCATTACCTCTTTTATTTAACAGTGCATAGCGGATTTTCAGTTGAAGAGAAGTATCTAAGGCTTACGCAAGATAAAAGCCATTATATACTTCTTTTGTTACTTATTACGCAGACTGGGAAGGCATAGCAAGGTGTTTTGGCACCAGTCAGCCCACACTGGTGATTGCAATGCCGTCAAACGCCTTTGGAATAGTTTGGCATGCTGCTGTGTCATGCCGAGATATGCTCCTGCAGCACTTAAGCCTCGATGACTCGCCCCGTGTCATAGGGTTTTTAACCATTTACTACTCGCCCCGTGTCATCGAAGATTTACTGCGAAATACTGAGATAGAGTGCCTGTTTACTTAATCACAGGATTGAAATAATTAAATCGTGAGCGTGACAGAAACAGGCGCACTTACAGAATACAGAAAGAGGTCCTCTTTCTGTATTCTTGGCGCACTGCCTCACCCCGCGGGATGCCGTCGCATGTTATGGCATCCTTGACCGCTTAACCGCTTTTGGTGATGCGGGATCAATTTCTTAACGTGAGAATTTTTAATTATATTACTACTAGATAAATTTGAATGTCGTTAGGTAAAAATAAAATGCTTTGCCATGCCGTTTCTCTGCGCAAACCTTCATGGTTACTTCCCAACGGTATTTTTAATATCGTTGTTACTCTCAATCAGCTTGACAGTGCTTACCGATATCGGATGCCATAATCTTGTTGTTTTTTTTACGAAACTCAGCAAAATTTCCTTCCCTACGTCTAGTTAGGGAGTGCAGTCGCGAAATCAGCTATTATATGTCAGAAAAATACACCTACATCACGAAGCACCACACCACCACAGATCGACCGTAATTTTTAAAACGTCATTAAAACTCATTAAATCTTGCTTCTGATCTGACTGTCATCATTTGACGACCTCCGTGGTTCAGTGGTTTGTACGCCGGGTTTCATGATGTCGCCGACTCGAGAGGTCTCGAGTTCGAGTTCCGGTGGGGGCAGATGTTTGTGTGATACGAGCATTTGTACTCCAGTCATGGATGTTTAATATGTTTTTCTATATAAATATACTTATATATGTACAGTATATGTAATCTATCCGTTACCCTAGCATCCCATAACACAAGCCTTACAGTGCTTACTTTGGGGCTAGGCTAATTGGTGTGAGTGTTGGAAATATTTATTTATTATAATTATCATTATATGTGATTGTTTTAGTAATTACAAGACTGAGGTTTGCGATATTCCTCCATTATTTAGAGACCCAATATCTGTCTTGAATCCAGACAACACGAGTAACAATGATGAAGGTACGGAAGTGTCTTTAATAAATAAAATACAATGCCATTTGACCCTTGCAGGATTGGTGGAACATAATAAGGCAGAAAGGTAGGTATATGAAATAACACCTACCTCTCCAAAGATTTATAGCAAAATTTATATCTAAATAACAAAGGTTTCGCAGCCTTTGCAGGAATGCGTCGTCAGAATGATGAAACTTATTTTATATCATGAGTGCTGTGCGTGAAAACCTAGGAAACAAATACATAACAAAGGGATTTGTAGTTTGTATTACTACGGCGTGAGTGAAGTTATACTGTAATTATTGTAATCTATTAGAACAGCTGGTTAACTTCAATGCTAAAATCATACTAATATGTGACGTATTAAAGTGTAGTCTTTGATCAATATTGGATCGAAGGTAACAATAAACTTATTTCGACCACCACAACTTAACAGGTGAATAAATATGGGTAGCTACACACATAGTCGGGCCGCAATTGTCGGTTCGGCAGTATTTGTCAAACAAAACCAACCAGCGGACCATTCGCCTAAAGGCTTTGGAAAACGCTAACGCTTTCGATTTTATTTTGTTATTTCTGACCGCCGAAGGTTTTCAAATACCTCACTCTCATTTTTTTTAATATTATTATTACCAATGCAAAAGAAAAAAAAAGAGCGCGAGGCATTTGAAAACCTCAGGCGGCTAGAAATAATAAAATGAAATCGTAAGCGATAGCGTTTTCCAAAGCATTTTCGTTAGGCGAATGGCCCCCTGTAGATTACTACGATTGTTCGGCAGTAATTATACTGCCGAACATTCATCTACACATATTCCATTTTAGTGCCGACCCGCTTTTGTGTGTAGCTACCCTACGTGTATCGTCGCGAACAGATTTTGATTAATGCTATTGATTTTAACGATTCTGTAAAGTTTTATTTTAAAGAGAAAATATATTGTATGTGCCCGCTTCATATTTATTAACGTTTGTTTTAAACATAATTTATAATCAATGGTTTTTAGAATTCTTTTGATCTAACCTTTTTTCATTTCAAAGCAATTAGGTCAAGGATACTGGATTTACATAACAAAATACTTTCTATCCGAAGAAAAAAAAACGAAATCTAATTTATTGTTAATGATTGCCTTCGGTCTGGTGTTTACGGGTAAAATAACCGATTTTTATTTGCTTCAGTAAAATTATAAACGCGATTAATAAAATTTTGTTCTTTCAGCGTTATAAAGTACTAGGCTGCTAAACGTTATTTACTTATGCGTTAAGCACACCTTAACTTAAAAAATCCTGTAAAGGATTTGAAATGTCAAGGGAATAGAGTCATCAAGTTAATAGAGTGCTCTTTATACTCGTAAAAACCGGTCAAATGCGTGCCTAGCCACGCGCAGTGTATGGTTCCGTAGTTGCCTGTCGTTACCACAATATATTTGAGCAGGAGCTTTATTTTCTATATCGGAAATTAAAAAAAAAAGAATTAATGTCAGTTTTTAAATAGATTTTTTTAGATTTTGTTTTTCAATGCAAGGTTTTACGCTACAATAACTTCATCTATGGCACTATTAATATTTTCTTCTAAGGAATTTTCTATAGGAAAAAAATTTTCTTTAACAAAAGTTGAACGACTATTACTCCTTAACTAACAAATCTATCTTAACCGTTATAATCTTCCTTAAAGGTTCATGTAAAGCACTATTATTATTTTGAATTTTTCCCAGGTTTTTCAAGGCAATAGTTTAGCTTTTAGAGGGGGGGGGGGGGGGGGGGGGGGGTCTTACTCGAACAAAAATTAGCATCCTGATATTGAAAAATAGTCTTGGGAAACTCTAAGTAATTTTAAAGGACCTATTCAACGATACCTCAAGCGATATGGTAGACGATGAAAATAAAACATCCTCAGGTTACATGTAGGGAGTTACCCTAAAATAATATATATATATATATATATTTATTTTAAAATTACATAGGAGATATACATATCTCTACAAAACTACAGCTCTCTAGTGCTAACAGTATCCAAGCTAAATGGGGACGGACAGACAAGACGGACATGACGAAACTAAAATGGTTTTCTTGTCAGGACTACGGAACTAAAAAAGGGCGAATGATAAAGTTATTAATAAGTAGGGTCTGGTAGGGGACAGGGTAACAAGGGGCACAGTGTAACAAGATGAATATCTCTAATCTTTTCCTATTTGTCTATGGACTGTCTTGTTTCATATGCCGCCATCGCAGCTGTCATCAGACCTTAAATGGCCGGGTATAATACAGAGAGAGTCAGAGCTTCGGTATTTCCAATATATCTATATGGCGCGG